TCATAAGCCATGCATACTGTTTGTCGATTCTAGTCTCTTGGATGATGTGAAAAGTGATAGAAAAAGTTGATCCTCCGTCAACAGTCGATAAATTAAACTTTATTAATTATTGAAATATTTTTGCTTGATATTGAGGGGAAAAAAAATTAATTTTAAAAATAACTTAAAACAATAAATTCCAACAATAGTTATAACAATGGATTTTAACGAGAGCTTTAGCAATAAATTGTAACAATTAATTTTAAAGAGAGTTTTAACAATGATTCGGGAAAATTAATTTTATCAATGGATTTTAACAACCAAATACGTCTTTAAATTGAATAGTAACAAGGAAATTTTATTTTAATTTAATTGGACATTGTAGATAAAAAGTTTTTAAGTTTCTATTAAAAAATTTTCATTCGAAACATTGAACTTATTGAATACTCAAATATTTTATTAATAATGAAAAGAATACTTTGTTAATATAATTAATTAATTTTTTATTTTAATTTCGATGAATTAATTGGAGAAATAAATTTATATAATTTATATAAATAATTTATTTATATTATAAATACATAATAAATAATAATAAATTATTATATTCAATTATAAATATATTCATTTGTAATTAAAAAGGTGGTAGGCATTTATTATTTTTAATTAATCTAAAAAAAAGATTTATTTACTTTATGAATGAATAAAAATAAAAAATGATCCATTAATAAAAATAATATGATTAAATGTTCAATGAACATGACACAGGGTAATATGAAAGATATAATTAAATAACAAGCTCGAAAAAAATGTTTGAATAATCAAAATAAATCGGCCATTGAATTCTATCATAGAAATTAATATTTATAAAGGAATGAAAGAAAAATCAATTACACAGCAATTGAAAATTAATTTCCGGCAATTGGACAAATATGTGGAGATAAATATTGAGGTAGTAATATTTTTTTTTATCAAGTCTTAGTACTTTATACATAGACTTATATCCTATGACAGAGACATTTTTATCAGTTTTTTCGTAAATTCACAAGGGAAACAAAAATAGAGAAGGTATTCCTGAAATGTTCAACTATTCAACTTGTCTCAATATCTCTTTTATCTTCTCGCAATTATTTAAAACTTTGACATATATGCACTGTAATAAATTAAAAATGTCTTTTTGAAAAAAATAGGAATGTCTTTGAAAACAATTCCTTATGAGAAATTTCAGATATCTGTTCAAATAATCAACATAAAACTAACAACAATGTGGTTGAGTAATGATTTATTGAAATTTATAAAGCATCATTTTTGAAATAAATATTTAAAATCACATGATCTTATGACATGGGTTTTTACATGGACAAAAGTCAATTAAAAAGCTGATGCAGCGACAGGATGCAATGTCACATTGAACTGTAGTCTCATTTTAATTCTGCTTGAATCACATTTTTCTCATCCCAATCCTTTCTTTTTTTTTTTATCGCGTGAATCTCCTTAACGTCTCTCGCTCCTGCATAATATTCTCGCGTCATGATGGAAGCGTAACCTCATCAATTGACTCATCGAATTTTGCCTTTATTAAATGACAGAAACAAAAAAAATTATTTTCAACATCTTCCTATTTTACTCTTCAACGAAAATTAAGTCAACTTTTATAATATGAAAAAGTACGTTTTTAATACAATTTTTTTTTTTTGTGTTACAATCTTCATTTCTTCATGTAGTAAATCTTATTCTCACTTTTATTTTGCCCTTTTTTCACCCCCGTAAACCCGAAGCAACGTTTTTTTTAAATACTTTTTTTTTCCTTTCAACTTTCCTTGCCAGTAGTTTCGAAAGCTATGGCCGGGTAAAGTACTTTCGCAGCTTTGTCACCAAGTGCAATGTAAGAAAAAGAAAAATAACTGTCAGATTCAAAGGTTTCAGGAACAATGTAATACGAAATATTTTTTTTTGAGCCCACAGTATCGCACTTGATGACCGTAAATCGTGATTCTTAACAGTTGACGAAAATCAGAGATAGAAAAACAAAGAGGATAAAACAAATTGATGATTCTTTCTAACTTGTTACATGTACTTGAATTTTTCTGACATTTTTTCTTTTTTTTTAGGCTTGTATATTTAATCAAAAATTCTATTTCATATTTTTACTTTTAGGTTGAAACGTTGGTTTAAAACATTCTAAAAATATTACTACATGTACGTCATCTTTGTAAAAGATTTCTAACGAGCATTTTTGTAAGCTTGATATTTTTTCTCAAGTTGTAAAATTGAAAAGCCTCAAGATAGCACGAAAATTGCTCGTGTGGCATAAAGGATTAATGAAAGGCATAAAACAGACGACCAAGAAATATAATTTAAAATCACTTGAGCAAACATAATAGTATTCATGATAGAATAGATTCATTTACATGAAGATACTTTAGTGTTAAATCAGATAATAATATTCTAAACATCTTGAAATAATATAGGTCAAATAAAAAAAATTAGCTCATTATTTTAATTTTATTTAAAAGGGCTTATCCAATTAAAAAATAGCATGAGAAAGATTTTGAAAAATTTTATTTTTATCAATTTAAACAAGTTTATTTTTTATTAATTCTCTTTTAGCTTGAAAATATTCATGCTGAATCCACATTGTAATTTAATTCTTGATAAAAAACTATGCAGAAATAAAAAAATAATAAAGAATTGTTTTTATATGTTTAACATTTAAGTTTAAAACTTAAATATTCATATCAATGATTATTTAGCTAAAATAAAAGAAATCTTATCAGTTTTTTAATTAAAAATGTATGATCGAAAAAATTCAATTTCAACTTTTATAATGACAAGGTTAAATCCGGCTATACTACAGGATTAAAAATTTCGATGAATTGTGCTAGTTCATGTGGATGAAAAATCTATCATTTTTCAACCAAAAAATGGTGCTAAACTGAATAGGAATACTCTAGTCTATGAAAATGAAAAAAAACAATCCCATAAAAAGAATATATTATCCAATATAACCATCATCTTGATGCTAAATTGAACACAAATCGCAAAACTTTTATAAATCCTAACTATTTATAAACACTAAACTGTATAATCATGAAAGTCATTAAAAAATGATTAGTCTATAATTTGATTTTACTTTGTCATAAAACTATAACTGGAAATTTATTTAATCCATTTATCTATTCTTATCTTCCAGTTGTAACAATTACATGAATATCATTCATTTCACTCCATAAAATATTCTCAAATTAATGCTAGCTGATCACTCGATAACATATATTGCTTGAAATTACTTCAATCACACTATTTTTATTACTCCAATTTAGAGCAATATTATATTAGATTTTAACTCAAGTAAATATTCAATTAAAACTAAAAAAGGTTTTTTGATGAAGCATATGTCTTATCAAGTAACAAGATGTATAGGATCTTAAGTATGCAATCTAATCACTTTTGCTCTTACTAAGTTGGCAATTACTAATTACGCTATCACACTGAAACCTGTTCTATCGCTATGCCTATATTTACTTCAGCCTTCGCACGCTTCGACAAGGTGAGATAGATGATAGACAGTACTAGGAGCAAGGTTACACAAGCTGTTCTACAGTAGTAGTAGACCTAATTCTTAAACAGGGTACAAATCCAATAAATGAGAAAACGACATGGTAAAATTTACTGTTCCAATTCGATACACGACCATCAATACTCTCCACTGAATAAGAGATACATACAAGTAAAGGGGCCAATTCTCACATACAAATATTTGTCCATTCAATAGTCTCTTGGGAGACCCAAGTTTTTCGTTTATTTTAGTTTTTTCTATTTCACTTCAACCACACCGATTCCTTTAGTAGAAATGAAGCCTGTCCACATCATTTCCCAAAGTGAAAACAAAAAACGTATTTCCAGTTATTGATGGTGTCAATAAATTGGATCATATTTTGAGTTGAAAAAACAATAAACTCTGGCTCTTTCTAGATTATTTTTTGAATGTATTTTTAAAATTTATTCAATACTTGAATTGAAATAAGAATAAATCCTGGTATTTTATAATAAAAAATATCTCAAGATGATTTATTAATAGAAACATTGGATTAACTCACCAAACTAAAGATCAACAAAGTTGCTAGCTGAAAATCCTTAAAATAACAATGTTGTCGAATACTACATCATATACACTTTTGAATTTAAATTAACTCAGAGTATCATGAACCTATGAAAAGCTTAACTTTTTCATTTTGACCCTGTTGGATTCAAAATAATTCGTAATTTTCTTTTCACTATTCAATTTATTTTATATAGGTCAGGTTAAAATATTTACACAAATAAAAGATATCTCAATTAAAAGAAATTTTAATACTCGGTAAATCTGTGCAAACTAACATTCTATTAAGTAAAGTAAACCATGCAGTCATTAGTTCTCTATATGATGGAGATTGTTCGCTTCGCAGTAATTGATCTATCAAGAGCTGCTAATGGAAGGAAAAAATTCAAACAGAGTAATCGTACGTAGCAATTAATTATTTACAATTTTTTTTTAAAAGGCAATAACGAAGCAATATGCAGTTTAATTTGGTTATTAGTACCAATAGAGTACTTGGATAAAATAAAAGTGTACATTTGGTATTAGCTGATTGATGCTCTTCATAAAGCAGAGCTTTCTCCTATTAACTTTCTGTGGCCGTACAAATGTAATGCTAAAAGGCATCAAAGCACATTTCCGTGATACGAGAAAGAATAGTTGTTGATAAAAATGAATGACCATGTGACACTGATCGAGCGAGTCTATGGATAAGGATCACCAGAGTGTGTTCTGGCAACTTCGATCGATTTTATGTCCGCACCCTGACCCACTTCTCCCTAGTTACTCTTATGCCCTATTGATATAGCCGTCTGCTATAAGTGAGCATAAGCCTACTCAAGCTACAAAATTGGTGATATAGATCACCAAGAATATAAATGTTAACTACAAATTAATCTAGATGTTTTGTATACACTGCATTGAATATTAAATTTCATCTCAGGTACGCTCCAGGTCTTTGAGCCAACTTGACATGCTGGACACGGGGGAACATAATCTTTCTGGTGGAGGAACACAGCAGTCACCACAGATGACACATCATCGCTATCCAAGCCCTCATCAACCACCACTTCTATTTTCTCCTAATCCTGCTGACTGTAGTCCTCGACTACTGGTTCCAAGCTCAACTTTAACTACAGACACTTCGTATTCTTCCAACAAAAATCGTCATAAGCTTTCCCGCTCACAGGTGAATTTTATTTTCATTTATTTTTATATTTATTATGCACGAGTATTGAATTGTTAACATTTTAGTCCAAGTGAACAACTCAATAGCATCTGCACCTCTGTGTTCGAAGAATGCAATAAATGCAGTCTGCTGTTGCTGAAGTAGTGTAGAATTTACACTGTCAACAAGTATCATATTTTACAGAGTTGGTAGAAAATTTCAATCGTACAAATATACTACTGTTTATGTTACCTTGTTGGTAATTTTTTTTATTAACTTGTAACATGGTTAAATTACTTGGTACAATTGTATTTCTATCAGAGTACAATTAAACTGTATTATGGATTTATAACTCAAATTGGGAAAAATTATATTCTCTGCTAATGGCAGTGTGTTCTGTTGAATAATACTAGCAGAATTTTGATAATTCCAATCATTCCAAACATTTACTATCACTGTTGATTTATCATTATAAGTAACATTAGATCACGATACTATCAATGAATCATCTTGATGCTCCTGCATTGCTTTGATTCATTGCTTTTAATTAGAACCGAATGATTTAAATGTCCATAAGAGTGACATAAAATAATTTAGACATTAAAAGTTGTAATAATAATCATCATGATGTGTATTAGAGCAATTTCTAGTTAGTAATTACCCAAAAACATCCCCCAAAAATGTATAATTTATCATGATTAAAATATTTTTTATCCAAACAGCCTAAATAATGAAATTTTTCTCTTATTAAAATTTCACCCTCGAGTTATTCTACGTGATTAATTGACGGTACGAAGTATGCGAAATGTAATTAAGACCCGAAACTGCAAGTGACAGAGGCTTAAGTTTCACTCGACTGACTAATTAATGAAAAGTTTTGTTATTCGACTATAGGCCTTAATTATATCTATGAAAAGTTACTAATACCAACTTGACGCAAAACAATCAAAAGAAATAAAGCTTTATAATATAATGAAAATGTAATTAACTAAAATACTATTCTGTTTCATATGTAGGTTTCCAGTAGCGAGTACTTCAGTGTGAGCTTTGAAGTTGGTACCGAAAATAGTTCCTTGGAGCGTGAAGAATTTTTACCAGCAACCAAAGGAACATATTTAGGGTGAGGATCCTCCAAAACTTTCAGTTGATAATAAATTAAGCTCTTGTTTTATTCTTTTATTATGTTTCACACTTTTGTGCACTTAATCTCCACCAACACGAAAGTAGCTTATGTAACCCATTTAAATTGTAACGAATGTAAGTGGACTTCATGATCGATGTTGCTGATTCCCGTGGGAATGAAAGCCGTCTGTCTAGTCAACCGAAGAGAGATACGTTCGCCAAACCATTGAATTTATCAAGATGATTGAACGCTAGTTAATGAAAATGAAACTAGACCATATTCAAAATATGAAATTTTCAGACTATCAGTCGTTATCACACATACACAGTTGATTTACTATGACATTAATATACTATTATCTATTCTTGATTGCATTGGTTACACATCGCGTTTTAGTATGTCTGTTGATTTTATAATGACAGGGTAAATACGACATTGATTAATGCGTGAGTAAAAGCAAGGTTTAAGCTTATATATACTTGCTACTTGGTACATATCGGCTGTCTAACTTCCGTTAGCCAGCCAATAACCACTAACTCCATATAGAGGCCGCGTTAATAATGTTCAACTAACTTGGTACTTATTGCGCTTCCACTTCAAGTCTAGTACTTAAATATAATTGTTCTTAAACTCAATTAGAGCAATTAGAATGGGTTTACTTAGACACAAATGTAAATTATAAGCTGACAAATCAGTAAATGGTATAAACATTGAAAACTTTGAAGTGTTGAAATTAAATAATTTTTATCAAGTTACAAACTAAATTCGAACAAAAAAAAATCTCTTAATGGCCTTCAGAAAGATCAACTTTTTTTTTTTACATACAATCTTACCAATTCAATGACACAGAACGGTTTCATACCTAAGCTATATCCTTCACCCAGTATGCTTCCGCTCATTATCTTGTCTATGTCATCACCTGACAAGTGAAAAGGAGCTTTACTCAGAGAGATCCTGGAGCTTTTGTTGTATGAAAAGAATATGGATGATAAAAGCAACAAAGTCTTGAAATAAATGACAATAATTTTATTACTATCAGTTTTCTGCATAACAGATAAAGCAAACGAAGAAATGTAGTTTATAAATGTCAGTCAACAGTCAGTGCATACAGTTAAGTTAAATTACTCAGTTCATTTCGTACATATATTTTATGTTATGTGAATTACGTCAGCAAAATAAGGTATACATGTACTCTATCATGTATTGTACATTCTGTAGAACTTGCAATCTTCCTTGCCGAGATTACCTTTAATTTACGGATGTAGTTTTACTTTTTGTTGTTTAAAGCTAACTCTTTTATTTGATTTAAATCATCAATTCAATATCAAACTTTTCTGACATTTTTTTATTCTTTTTTTTTCCAGAGAAAGTCTTGGAGCAGCTTGTGAACGTCGTGGCATTGATTTAAGTCGTGTTGACGTTTACTTGGATGCATTTTCTACACCTTTACCAGTTCAAACAACAGAAACTTCTTGCTTAGGCGGCAGACATTTGCGAGTCACTGGTGAGCAGAATTAGTTATCCAATCAGTATTGTAAAATTCCCATGAGCAAATAAAATGAACAATCCTTCAGCTTTATTTAAACTCACATGTTTATAACCGGAACAGCTTTAATTATGCACGATTTATTGATTTTGTCTTGTACGTGCATCATCATTATTAAGCATGTTTTTCATTCTCAAGTTTGCATTCACTGTACACGCTTGCGTTGCGATTTATTATGTGAAGGAAAAAATATCTAAAAGCGTGAAGGGTGAAGATAGTTCTGCCTGTCAGCGTGTACATGGTGAGAAGGGTGACTTGGATATCTGGAGAAGCTTGAACGAGATTCGCGTTGAATATTCTAAGAGGGTGAAAGCAGGAATTTTGGGTGCGCAGAAACATCGGCATGCTTTAGAATATCCACTTCCAACTCTTGTTTTCCCTTCCTTTTTAGGCTTCAATGACGCTCAGCGACAGATACATTACATTTACCAATGTGGAGTTGATAAATGATTCAATTTGAATATAGTAATGACTACTAATCATTAACACTCAACTGTGACAGACTGTATTTCAGAAAAATTATCCATCAAATTCTCAGTTTTTGATAAAAGAGATTACATTCTTTTGTGATAAATGATGATTTTACCTTCTGAAGCTTTTAAAACAATAGTCAATATTAAATTTTTTTATAAATTCAAAGCAATACTTCAAACGATTTTCAAAAAAATCGATAGAATTGAAAAAGTTTTTATGAGTAGAGGAATATATGGAATATATTTTAAAATAAAATTAAAATTTTTTATTAATGACTTTATAATTTCTATTTCCAATTAATTTTATCTCATTTCAGTTTTCAATTAACTGAGGATTGGATTTAATTTAAAATGTTGTAGAAAATATTTTCCTTTTTTTTCTTCTTTCATTTAACAATTATCTCTTAAAAAAGCTATTTAAAATCATAAGAATAAAAAATTCGAGGTAATATTACACATATGTAAATTTATGAAAAATTTTATTTTCCATTATTTTTTTATAAATCATTCTTTCATATCTCTTGAATATGATTTACTATCCAACATTTTACATCTAATAATTTTACATTTTTCAATATTCTTAGACTCACAATCATGAAATATTTTTAACGTAATTACTTAAATATTCATTATTATTTTTTTTTTATTAATTTTCACAAATAATCTAAAAAAAATTACTGAAATATATTCACATTATTACAAAAAAAATTCCATACATTCTATCATAAGAATAATATCATAAAATAATGTGAAAATGTATTTTTCTATTTAGTTTTCTATTTAATGCTCTTTTTTTTTATATTATTATTACATCTTCATGAGTTCTTTTAAAGTCAATATTTGAAAAAAAAATTCTAATGTGAATTGTAAATATTTAATTTTTTCAACACATCCGACTGCTCTATTATTAATATTTACTATTCTATCTATACTTAGTCAACTACTTGATAACAGAGATAATGTTATCATTAAAATTTTAACACCAGCAATAATTAATACTGATAGATTTGAATGTTTTAAACACTTCTATTTCACTTTTCACTGGATTGAATATAATTTATAAAGCTTATTATACATTTAGGTATTAACACTTCAATGATATTCGAAACAATTTACATATAATTACTACAAATGGAATCAAACCCTTTTCCCTTGAAACAGCATTTCATATTCAAACTGTTTGAGGTTCTAAAATGTTTTGACCTACTAGTAACTACAATGATTAACAGTCTATCCAATACCAACGTTTCCCAACATTTAATCATCAATAATTATTTTTCCAGCCAAAGATGAGAAGCCGGTATCACGGTCAGCCAGTCAAAAAAGTAGCCAAAATGTTTCACTTCGTAAAAGCAGTAGCGTAAGTCTTAAGAAAAAAAAAAAAATACTAAAACTACCAATATCTGTTGGAAGAGAAAATAATTTTAAAATGATTATTTCCAGACTTATCGTGGACGTGGCAGTCGATTTTTTAGCATATCAACTGAAGACTCAAGCATGGATTCAGAAATAGGTCCAACAGGGATGTTGACAGCTACCAAGGCCTCTTCAACTGCAGCATCAGGAGTAAAAGTAAGCAAGCAACGGTGGAGTGGTTTCTTTACCAATACAAAAGGAACTAAAATGGAATTACTGGTGGAGCAACTTAACAGCTATACGAAACATGGTGTACCGCGTTTACCAGAGATACAATTGCCATATGACCTCATGACCAATGAGGAAGGTCGGTTTAATTTTACAATATAAAATGTAGCTTCTTTTTTTTTTTGTAACATATTCGACAAAGAAATTTTTTCCTCGAGGGTAAATCGATCCACGTCTCTAGAGCACTCTTAATGCACTCTTCCCTTTTCTGTTTCATCAACCTTTTCCTTTCCTCACATATATATATATATATTCCTCATGTACCGAGCACGAGTTGTAGCACAGTAAAATATATGTTAACCTTTCCAATTTTGTGAAGATGATAAATTTATTCCACCTTTTATCGGACAAAATTTGGAATAAATATTTTCGAATTACATTGCATATTTGCCTTTTGACCAATTCTCTCATATGGAAGCATATGGTTATGGCTAACGTAAATTTAACTGATACATTATTCAACAGCAAAGAAACAGAATATTGTGGATAAATATTTATTTATTTTTGCTCTTTTTATCAGAGTTATACGCATTAGAAGAAGACTGGCGTGACATCGTAGAAAACTGGGACTGCTTGACTGAGAAGCAACAACAACAACAGACAGCTCTTTGGGAGTTAGCTCAAACGGAATTAGCTTATATTAAGACTCTTAAAGTAGTCACAGACGTAAGCTACTTTACATTTATGTTGATAAATTATTTCGTTTGTTTCTCACTTATTTACTTGTGTATATTAATATTATCTATCTTATCATTTAGCTCTTTATGGCTTGTCTCTGTAGTTTACAAGCATCAAACATATTAATTGAAGTGGACCGAAGCAAACTCTTCAGTAATATACCTGAAATCTACGCAGCAAACCGCTACTTTTGGAGTGAACATGTATTAAGGATGATGAATGCCTCCAGATCTACGGGTCATTTGCTTGATTCCGGGCATCTTTTGCAAGGCTTTGAAACTTTCGAACAAACTTTTGCTCCTTACACGAGATATTGCTCCGAACAAAGTAAATGCCAGCAATACTGTAGAGATCGACTCAACGACAACGAACTATTTACGGCCTACTTAGTTGTAAGTTTTTTTTAAAATTAATCATTCTTTTAACTACGCTTATTACATGACTTTCCAGCTCATAGTTATATCATCATGCTCGAACCGGTGCTTATAATTGACTATTTTTTTTATTTTATTGGACAAAAAAAAAATTCAATCTGAAAACTTTCTGCTTAAAATTAAAACCAATATTTTTTTTTTCCTGGATCTTACTCGACTTTTAATTTGCTCTAAAGTTGACTCTACCTGTTTTGGCATTTCTGTCACTTTATATATTTATGGTGTATAAGTAATATGGGATGATTATCTCAAACTAATTTATATCTTTCATCATATCTCTATAATGGCTCTTTTAAGATGTAATAAAATATTTTAATCATAGACAAGGATATTAAACTTTGATATTTTATATAAAAACATGAAAGTTAGAATGGTTATAAAGTAATATTGTTATGAAAGTCATTTCTAATTTATTATTAAGCCTTCAACATTGATTTTTATTAGTGCTTGATGTTTTATTTTTGATTAAATCGTAAAAAAAGAAATTAAAGATAATCAAAGATTAAAAAAATAGAAATAATTTAAACAATAAAATTAATTGCTTTGTAATGAAAAATAATAAGATATTTTTTAAATTTATTTGTCAATTGTTGAATTATGATAAAAAGTAATATCAAAATAATGTAATTTATTCATATTTTTCTGTTAAAAACTTGTTAATCTGAGTATTAAAAAGATTTTTTGTTCTCAAGTGGTATTTTATTGGATTATATACTTTTCCATTCAGAATTTCAAACTTTATAAATAAAGCTTTCATAGTACGGTGATAAAATCAGTACAATAATTATTCAAAAACAAATTAAATTATATATTATAACTTATTTTAAAAATATTATTTCAGTGGTGTGAAACTCAAAAAGACTGTAATCGACTGAGACTCTTGGATATACTAGTAAAACCAATGCAGCGATTAACGAAGTATTCATTGCTTCTCAAAGCTATTCACAAAAATACAGAAGATGAAGAGCAGCGTACAGAATTAACTATAATGGTAAATGTTTTTAATGTCAATTATAGAAATGAATGATTCATTATTTTAAATATAAAATCAAGATGTGATTTGAATAATGAATCAATTAGTTAAATTATCATTTTAATTTGTAGATTAAATGTGTAGACAACTTTGTGGCATCAGTAAATGCTGCATTACGAAGATCCGAAGAAGCTGCACGATTAGCTAGTGCAGCAACACGTCTGGACTGTTATGATGTCGTTGAATCTAGAGATGAAGAACTTGAGAAGTTAGTTAAATCATATTGTAATCTTGACATTACATCTGCACCTATGCCTGGCTGTCCCAAGAACTCACTAAGAACTCTTCTAAGGGAAGGAGACTTAAAGTTACGAGACGCTGCAACAAGCAAAGTTAGCAAGAATTTATTGATGATAAACGAATTTTCATTTCACCCATAAGTGTAAAAGTTATAATTAATTGTGGTAATTATCTGAATTTTAGACTGAGGTACATGCTTTCCTCATGACTGACATGCTATTATTATGTAAACCATCAACTAAAAAGGGATCAGTAACTGGTGGTTCTGGTGGTAGTGCAGGAAATTTGAAAATAATCCGACAACCTTATGTCATTGATCGCCTACGAATTCACGAGTTAAAGGAATCGTGTAGTCTTGGCTTAGTATACTTGAATGAATATGGAGTAGCGTCAGCGGCATTTATTTTAACAGCTTGTGAACCTAAACTTGCAAAGGTTTGTTGTTTAATATTCAATAGATTAAAGAGATATCAGGATATCAGTAATTTATTATACTTATAAACGAATTTAATAAAACAGGTTTGGATGGAATCTTTACGCAAAGCTCAACAGCAGTTTGCAATAATGAAGATTCCACCATTGGGTGAAATTCCGCCTGTGGCAACAGTAAGCAGACAACCAAGTACTTATTTAGGGGACGGAGACTTTGAGTTGGAAGAAAATGAAGTTTTACCGAGAACACCCCGGGGAAGTAGTCGAGCTTCACGCGTCAGTAGTCTAGCACATAGCCATAGGTATAAAAATAAATATAATTAAAAGTCTCCTGATATTAATTATTTTTATTTACTTAACTATGTTATTTTAATAAATAGTGGTAGCATTGAAATGGAAGGTGTATCTCCCGGTGGGAGCAGTTTTCTTCCAAGTTATAACCCTAGTAGAAATGTCAGCGTTGATACAAATGAACCACCTCATGGATCTAGTGTATCTTCTGAAGAAGGTTTAGAGCTGGGGTTAAGTCACAATCATAGGCCGCTTCAAGTGAGGTAAGTAATCATATTACAAAGTAATTTTCATTATTAAATTACTCTTATTGAAATTTAAAAAAATTATTACAGACGCTCATTACTGAGTAAATCACCAACACCGAATACATTGAGCGTCCAAGTTCCTGCTTATTCAAGCCTAGGGCAATCATTACCTAATCTAACACTCGCAACTTCACCCCAAACATCAACGGTGTCACCTACGCCACCTAATTCACTTCTTATTGTTCCACAAATCACCAAAAGCAAGGATACTTTACTTTCTCCTGGACATCGAGGTAATTTATTGCTTGGGTTTTATGAAAAAAAAAAAAACGTCATAAAAAATTATAAATTACTTCATAGGTATTTCATATCCTCCTCCATCCCCACCAAGAGGAGCATTAAGACGAGCACTTGCTATACCACAGTCTAGAAATCCTCCTTTAATCAAAACGAGACACATAAATGCATCTGTGGCTTCATCCACGTTTCAATCGGCCATAAGTTTTGACACTGAAGCGATAGAAGAGAGACGCAGAAGGCTGGAATCCACTCAGCGTGCTCCATCGTTCAGTGGTACTGTTAAAGAAGAAAAAAAGTAAGCTTATTATACCACAATCTCTTTAAAGGTTTTTTTTTATAGAGTATGATTTATAATATCTATATAACTTTCATTATAGAAGTGAAGAAAATCGATAATAAATCTTTATCCTTTGAGAGGATATTGAAATTTCATAGTCGAAGATGTGAAAAGACGTAAGTCTTGTTAACAAAAGCTTCGGCAGTTTTTGGAATGCCATAACTACGTGCACAGATTACACAATCTTGCATGCAGAATAAACGGCATTTTTTTTACCTTTATCAAGTTGTTTTTGTACACACATGTAAGTTTAAAATAAAAATTATATCCATTGAGTGAATTAACTACATGAATTAGGAATACATGTTAGAAAATAATCGAATTATTTTATATTTTCAGATAGGGGCCACTTTAAATCAACGTGAATTGTGAAATTTATAATGACGACCATATAGATTATATTATATATATATATTATATCTAGTGTTCAAAATTCGCATTTCCATCGAATTTTTTTGTTTACTATTGCTGCGCAATTTGTGAATGATGGAATTATAATCAATGTTAAATTTTTTTTAGAACTTTAAGGAAAATCAAGGCCTATGTAGATTTAATTAATTCATGAATTAATGCATATTAATAAAATTAGAAAACAATTAATATGTTAAATGTAATTAGGAATGAAATTTTGGCTTATAGAGATGAGAAAAGTATAATGATTGTTCAATAATTTATAATAAAATATGAACAATATTGTAGATAATCAAATAATCTTGATATAATGAATTAAGTTAAATAATATTCTGACGACTGACTTGATATTCCATATTTTAAAAAGAGAAATTTATCTTTGGGATATTAAACTATGTTCGTCAAATATTTATTGTTATGGATTATTTATAATTTATAGACTGAAAACTGCGATATCTACGATCGCGTTATACGAATTAGGGACAATGCTTGATTCTGTAGCGCATTATTTTGTTAATTTTTTATTTTGCATATATTAATTAGAGAAAAAAAAAATTGTTACTTAAATTGCCCATTATGTTGCTTGCATCAAGCTACACTAAATAATTAACAATAAAAACACAAGGCCTAATTGTATTATTAAGGACGATTATATTTAAAAAATAAAACAATGCATTATTTATAAACAATAATTAGCATTTTTCAGATGTCACTAACCTGAATGACAATAACAAAATTATTCAAATAACCATTTTTTAACTTTTAAAGTTATAATTATTCTAAATATCTTTAGGAGTATGTACACAATAAATAATATAAAATATGTTCTTAGTCATTAGTAGGCTTTAATTCGCTTACTATACCAATTTACCAAAGGTAAGATTTAATTAATCCATATGACAATTAACCTTTCGACAAAAACGCCAATTGCAATTACAATAAACTATCTATCGATTACGGATTTTTAACTACCGATAATAAACTTATAAGGCTTACGTAAAAAATTATTGGACTCTTTAACGAATCCAATAATGAAAAAATTAAAACAGTCAAAGGTTAAAATGGATACAAAGTCTACTACAGTCAACAATCACTTGTCATATCCTGACATGTACGAGCCTCGCTACGTTCGTCTGCCAGAGCTTCAATAATATCCAGAAGTAATTCACGACTCAACTGTTGGAGTCTTGGTAATCGAGCAACCTGAAAATAAAATTCACAAATGTAATTTTTTCAATAATAGTTTTATCAATAAAAGCATAATAAAAAAAGGCTTGAATCTTTTATTACCTTACTAAAATGATGAACAATAAGATTAAGAGCATATTTTTTAACATCGCATGCCTGCATACGATCTGCAGCTTCTAAAATTTGTATTACATTTTCAAACGTAACATTCATTTCTAAATTTTGCTTACAGAAAGCTTGTAAACGATTATTGGTGAAACCATAAAATGCCGGAGCAGTAAAGAGATAAAGAGAATCTTCCGGAGGCATTGAAACATCAGCGTAATAAATATATCTTAATAACGAAGCAAAAGATTCCGGTGAAGGTATCGTTTCACCGATTAGAATATTAACTATATTATCTTTTGGCATAAATGACCTAAACATAGCTTCAAAGTAATTGCATCGGGCTGCTAAAATTGCTTTATGTGCTGGGTAAGCATCACCTTGCAACATTAACGTAATATCACAGAATTCACAACCTCCACCTTTCAAAAATTTCTCCATGTCTTGCTCTAACGACGTGCCAGTACCAGTTTCATATTGTTTGGAGTAACTTCTAGTTTGGGGTACTTGTCTCCGACGTATAATGTCCACCATTAATGGCCGGTCTAATGTTTCAAATTCTCGACTCATAACTATTTGATTGTAGTTACTGTCCTTCACCACAAAACTCAAACAAAACTCTTTTATAAAATCAAGTTTAAGGTGTGCAGCATTGTGCAAAGCTTCAAGAACATTGGCGTGATTGATAGTAGCTTTGAGATAATGCACACACAGCTGTTCCAGACGTTTCATATTAAATTGGAAAGCTAGTCGATAAACATCCATCATAAGTAAAACGATTCTATTGTTCGGATCAGAGTCCTTTACTGCTTTTGTAGGATCTATGCGATCTGTGTAAATGTAATTGAGAACCATTTCAAAAGCTTCAGGTACAGCATCTTCTAACTTCACCTCCAAAAGAGGTAAGTCTGTCATTGTTATTTCACCAGAAGTTTCTTCTTTTTCTTTTAAGTGTTCTATTGTTTTTTTTCGTGCTTCACGAATCCGAGAACTTAGAAACTGTGAACGTGCTGCAACCATGGCAATGTGAGCAGGTATTTTTTTTTCCATGTGATCTTTTCCAACAATAAACTCAACATCACAGAATTGTTTAGAGTTTAAAAGTCTTCCAAAATCATCGTGAAGGGTACATTTGGGATAGCATGAAAATTGAAAACGATATGTTTCGCCAGAACGAACATTATTATCGACCGTTCCTCCAAATATGTACATAGCTTCTCCAATGACTGCTGCAGCATGAAAAAGTCTTCCTGAAGGAATATCACTGTCGGCTGATGCAGTCACGATATTCCAAGTTTGAGTATCGAGGTCATAGCAATGAAGTTCATTTGGTAATGTGGAATCTGCGGTTCCTCCAAATACGTAGAGATGTCGATGAAAACTCACCATCGTGTGACCATAACGACGAGCAGGAGGTGGAGGAGCTCCTCTTAAAATATGTTCTGTAGATATTCTAGTCCACCTTTTTTCACGGAAATGAAACTGGAATAAGCTATTTGTAATTTTGGCACCACTTTGGCCGCTAAAAACAAACATTGATTCTCGTGCTACAGCAACTGGAAAGTTACAACAAGTTGGCGGACAATCACCAGATTGTACAACTTCTTCCCATATCCTTAACTCTCCTGGTAACAATGATATAGTCCACATATCATTGAGTCGAGCATTGCCATCATAGCCCGCAAATATCCAAAGTTTGTTATCATAAACTGCAGCTCCATGTGCTGACCTCGGAACTGGAGTTTTTCCAATAAATTTCCATTCAATCCACTGTCCCGTTTGAAATTTGTACTCAAATAAATCATTTTTATTAGTCAAATTTGAATTGGAATGTATGTCACCTGTGTAACCACCAAAAACAAACATTGAAGTATCATGTACCACTGCGGAATGATGATAGCGAGGTGGTGGTGGATTTCCAGTTACAAAAGCACGACCCCATGATTTTTCTTTCACATCAAAGCGTAATAAATCATTCAACATTCTTTTCCCATTATCTCCACCAAATACATAAATTGCATCTTTATAAGCAACTACTGTATGCTTACTACGTCTGAAATAAAATTGATTTTATAAATAAAAACTATCATTTGATGTTTAAAAAAAGCAGATAAATGTCAACTACCTAGCACCAACGAACTCATCACATTCAGGCATTCGTTGCCATCGATGGACCGTTTCAAAAGGTCCAAAATCTAATGTCAAACATTCTGCAGTTGTTACGTTGTCCATTTTGGGTGAATTTTTTCAATTATTGTAATCTAAATATTGAAAATGTTGATTGTATTGAATAATTCTTCTAGAAACTTGTCAATAGTTATCTAAGATTTTTTATTAATTCACATAATTAAATCTTGATAATAATTAAACGTATAAAATAACTTTGAGAACTTGTTTTTCATATTGTTATAAATAATTGTCTTGAAACGGATTAAGCGTCTTAACAAATAAACAACAATACAATAAGATCAGTCGATATTCCAGGGCTTGCCAAATTCCCAAAATTTTTTAGAAATTGACACTATCGCCATTTATCGGAATTATTGAAAAATAAATGCTAAACAATTCAGAGCATTGTTGAGTTGATAATTTAGGTACCTACCAGTGTATCATATTGTCGAATGTCCCGGAGTTTTCTACCGCATGTTCCTTCGTTTATGGAGCACTGAAGATTGGACTGCATATTGGCAAGGTCTCTGGGTTATTGTTAAAATAGAACCACTGCCAAGCAGTAGTATCTTAAGTAACTTAACATAATCACTGTCCATTGGTGTTATTTCGAGATAAATTGACAATTAACTGCTTGAAATGGCAGCTCGATCTCTGGTAAGATGTGTTCAATCCAAAGCAATTACTCCACAAATTCATCGATGCGCGGCATCCTTATCCGCATTCGAAATTCAACACAAAACACCAGCAATAAAAAAAGTCATGCCAATACCTAAAGCTCACTATGGTGGTCGTCATACCGTCACATTGCTTCCTGGTGCAGGTATTGGTCCTGAACTAATGGGATACGTCAAAGAAGTAAGTATTACTTGTATTTATGAGTCATTAATTAATTCAAATAATTGAATTTAATTATCAGGTATTCAGTTATGCTGGAGTACCAGTTGACTTTGAAGATATTGACATTGATCCAAATGCAGATAATAACGATGATTTGGAATATGCCATCACTTCAATTCGTCGTAATGGAGTAGCTTTGAAAGGTAACATCGAAACACGAAGTAGAGAAGTTGGAGTTTTATCTCGAAATGTAGCCTTGCGTAATGAACTCGATCTTTATGTAAACGTTCTCCACTGTGTATCATACCCTGGAGTAAATTCTCGTCAGAAAAATATCGACATTGTAATTGTTCGTCAAAATACTGAAGGTGAATATGCCATGTTGGAGCACGAAAGTGTTGATGGAGTTGTAGAAAGCATGAAAATTATTACAAGATCTAATTCTGAACGAGTTGCTCGATATGCATTTGAATATGCTAAAAGAAATGGCCGAAAAAAGGTAACGACTGTGCACAAAGCAAACATTATGAAGCTCTCTGATGGTTTATTCTTGGAGACTGCACGAAACATGGCTAAAAATTATCCAGAAATTACTCACAATGATATGATTATTGATAATACTTGTATGCAACTTGTTTCCAATCCTCACCAATTTGATGTCGTTTTAACAACCAATTTATACGGAGCTATTGTATCTAATGTCGTATGTGGACTTCTTGGTGGTGCTGGGTTGCTTGCAGGAAAAAATTATGGTGATCAGTACACTGTATTCGAGCCAGGAACCCGTAATACTGGTGCCAAAATTGCTGGAAAAAATATTGCCAACCCAATAGCTATGTTAAACGCAGCTGTAGACATGTTGCGTCATCTTGGTCATAAACATCATGCTACTATCATTCAAAATGCTATTAATAAAACAATTAACGCTGGAATACATACTAAAGATCTTGGGGGAACCGCAACAAGTCGTGAGGTCCTTGATAACATAATGAAACAAATTAAAGTAGCTGTTGTTTAAAATTCTGATAACGCACAAATAACGAATGTTGAATTAGAATTTTTTAATATTGTTGAAACACCTAAAATTGAGTAATAATTTATTATACATGATAAAAAGTTAAGCTTATGCTTCATTAAATTATTTATCTAGGCAATTTACATAAATGGATTAATCAAAGATATATCCTGAAGTCATTTTTAGAATCTACTACTTGTGAAATGAAATTTAAAACAGTCGAGTTGTATCTTTGTACAGTTTATCGACGTTTTTGAATGATTCTTATTAAATAAGATAATTCAAAATGCTTTGTAATATATGCAAATGATTAAATTAATTAAGATTAAGACAATTTTTTATCTTTCAATCGTCCTACTGCGAATTAAAGTTATATAATTTTAGATAGTAATATTTAGTAATTTATTATTCATATACGATGCTATACAAATTTTTGATGAAAATATTTATTAATTAAATTAAATTAATATTATTATTTTTTCAACAATTGCAGGGCCAATTCTTCTGCCATTGTTAAATCAGTATTCTCTAATATTTTTATCCTTTGCTTTTTCTTTTTATAGTTGTCTTGTGTCAATAATTTCCTTTTTGGTGGCCTATAAATAAAAGCGAATAAAAATTAATAAAGTCAGTATGAATTTTTATTCCTTAAAAGAAATTGATTTCTATAAATATGATACCTGTGGATTTCTTCATCAATTTCACTTTCTTCTTCGTTGTTAGGATCATCGTTATTATCATCATCAGATTCATTATCACTCGACTGGTTTTTAGGCCCATGAATTTGATCAGGATCAGAGTCACCTGCTTGACTCTCAGAATCTGATTCACTGTCACTATTACGCCCTAATCTTACTTGATATTCTTCATATTCATCATGTTCTTGTCTATCGTCACCTTCTAGTTTCCTTCTTTGCTCTTTGAGTTTTCGTTTTTCTTCCTTATGCTTTTGTTTTATCTTCTCTCGGAATCTTTGTTTATCAAACTTATCCTCTTCACGAAGAATTTTTTTAGCTTCCTCTATATTGATACCAGAACTTGCTGCATTTTCATATTGCCTTCCTAAGTCAGATAGTTTCGATTTCATTGAATCAATTACTTCCTAAAAAAATAAAATATTCATTTGATAAATCAACTTAATTATTAAATTACTTAATAAATATATTGTAATTCTAATTACATTTCCTTCGTCATCGAAAGTTGTTTTTTTATTGGGTAGAATTTTTTTACGTAATATTTTCTTAGCAACTGCAGCTTTTGTCACTATTTTCTTATTCTTTATCGTGCTTTCAATTCCTTCACCGTCATTATTAACTGATTCTTCTGGATAATCTTCAATTTGAATATTTTTTCGCTTAACTGTCAAAATGTCTTCATCATCACTGCTGTCTGTAGAAAGAAATTTATATGTTTAATAATTTTTTGACAAAGTTTGACAACAATAGCTTCTATTGAAATTAATTATTCCAAAGTTGTAAGGTAATTACCATTATCATCGAAAAATGTTAAACCACCAGAAAGTGGTTTTCTTATATTCTGAGACATTGGAATTTCTTTTTCATCATCACTAGACTCTTCTTGGTTATTTTCCTTTTCATTAGAATCATTATCAGAATTTTCATGATCTGATAATGTTTGATTTTTTAGCATTTTTTCACTTAAATTATCTTCTTCAGTTGATTTATTATCTTTTGCTTGGTCATCTTCCTGTTTAGCCTCTTTTTGCCGTCTTTGTATAAATCGTAATCTTGGAGGAACAGCTAAACCTAGAGATCTAAAATAATATGAATGTATTAAACGAAGAATCATGATAGATTTTATTATTTATTTTTAATATTCACGATATATTACCTGGCATAAGAGGCAGTATCCAATGCATGAACATTAAAAATTTCTTTGTCTTTCATCAAGAAGACTGATTTTACATAAGCAACAAATGCTCTTTGAGCTGATTCCTTTAAACTAACATCTCGGACAAGAAAAGCTTCAAGCTTATGATGAGGAGAATGTAATTTATTTGGATTAATGCTGTAAGAACATCAAAAAATATTACATAAACAATTCTAAGTCTTTTAACCAAAAACGAATTCAATAATTAATTTACCTTATTTTGTTAATTGGAATTTTTCGTTCAATTAATTTATCAACCATTTTTTCCTCACTTGGTAATAAAACTAGGAGAGATTCACCATTTTCTTGAAACCGTGCAGTTCTTCCTGCTCTATGAATGTAAGCATTAGTATCTTCCGGACAGTCCATTTGAACTACCCAATGAACAGCTGGGAAATCTACAAAAATAAAATTTTTATTTTCATTTGTTCAATATTGTATATAATCAAAATAATTACCTAATCCTCGTGAAGCAATATCTGTTGCAAAAAGTACAGCAATCTGTTTATGATGAAATTTTTCATAAATTTTCACTCTTCTCCATTGAGGAATAGTTCCATATAGTGCCATTAATCTGGACGCATTTGGATACAGTTTACAAAAAACTTCATAAACGTATTTCGCTTGCTTACAAGTAGCGAAAAAAACTATGATTTTTTGTTTAGGATGATATTTAATAAAAGACCATAGCATTGCCATTTTATCTTCTAGATTACAGATAACATAGCTCTGTTGAAGTCCTTCAGGAGTAACATGCTTTGCATGTTCATGAACAGAAACATACATTGGATCTTTTAGACTTAGTCTTGCTAAATCTTTGACCGATTTAGTTTGAGTAGCAGAGAATAATAGAGTCTGTCTTTCTGGAGGTAAATTTTCGATAATAGCATTCATGGAAGCTTGAAAACCCATATCTAAACATCTATCAGCTTCATCTAGAACGAGAATCTTCATCGAGGTACAGTTAAACAGAGGATTGTTATCCATATGCTGTAGAATTCTTCCAGGAGTGCCAATTATTATATTACACTTATCTAAGCGGTTCTTTTCAAAATTCAAGTCCATGCCGCCAATAATTAAACCAGCCGAAAAATCATGATGTATTCCAACTTTTCTCAGAGTTTCATAAATTTGGTATGCTAATTCACGAGTTGGAGTGATTACAAGCGCTCCAATACCATCTAACCTACTCCATTGCATGCAGTAGAGTTTTTCTAGTATCTGAAATAGTTAATTTATGAATAAAATTTATCATAGTGTATTTATTTCAATATTATACTACATACCGGAATAAGAAAAGCTAGAGTTTTTCCACTACCAGTCTTAGCAGCTCCTAAAATATCATTGCCAGCGAGAGCTAATCCAATACTTTGCTTCTGAATGTCTGTTGGTGCTATATATTTATGTTTTGAAAGTCCATCAAGAGTTTTTGACGAAAGTGGAAAATCAGAGAATTTTTTAATCTTAGTTTCATCGATCTAAAATAAATAAAAACATTATGTTTATTAATAATTATTTATTTTACAATTATTGATAAAGTATTGAGTGTTTATAGTTCTTTACTTACTGATTTATATTTTGCTTGAAGTTCTTCGATGATTTTTGATTCAGGAATTGACTTTTTCTTTTGATATACATTCACTTTTTTCTTCTTTCCTTGAGGTTTTGCCATTTTTTTATTATCAATACTCATTGTAAAATTATTAGACACTAAGTAATAATTGTTTTTTGTATTTGAGGTTATTTGTCATGCCTGCGTCCTCATGGGCAAGCCGCAGCGCCACAAGCGGTCAAGTCGAGAACCCGAAGACTGGATAATTTAATTTAACGGTTAGCAAGCGTTCTTCACAAGATTGAAGCATTTTATTCTAATTCCTATGTTCTATTATTCAATTGCTTAACATTTATGGATCGTTTGTTTATTTAAATAATAAATAATTCTAATTAATCACAATTCTCCTCCTTTATTGTATGTCAATACACTCCATTGACTGCATCTTTTGTTCGTTACAACTAATGTCAACAAAGGTTCTTTAAGCTTTAAAAAAAAACAATTTGTAAGTTTTTATTGTTTTTAATTAAAAGAAGTTTTTATTATTATTATTTTACAGTGAATGAATAGGTTATGCGTTGAGGTAATTATTTAGAAATAGATTTCATCATCACATTCAAGATAATTTAAATGATTAAACAATTATTAGATATAAATTTTTGATTATAAGAACTTTAATAAAAAAAAAATTGCTTGTATTATAATATAATTATCTAGTCAGTAAATAAGCAATAATGATAATAACATAATGATTTTTTAAATTATATTTTGATTGAAATTTTTAAATTATCAAATAATTATAAAAATATTCAGAAGCATTAAATACATGTGAAAATAAAAAAGGCAACTGTGTAAAAATAATTTACTGTAATTTATAGAACAAATAGTTTTTATTGGAGTTTTCAACAAAAAATAAGTACATTTATCATGCAACATAAGATATATTCTTAATAATTAATCATCAAAAATTTATACACAATAACATTTAATTTACTCCGAAAAATATTTAATAGCTTTCGTTGAATTTTTTTTCATTTATTCTCCTGTTTAAACATTAATACCACTAGCTTTAGCTTGGTTTTCGTACTTCTTCTTGTATACACCTTCTGGATCATATTTGCCAGCAAGTTTGTTCCATAATTCAGGACGCTGAAAAATAATATTAAAATATTAAAATATTATTCTAATTAATTACTCTAATAAATCTCAATTAAATTGAATTCATAATAATATATGTCATTTATTATTATTTCAGCAACATGAAATTGTGCGTGGAAGCTTTTGGGATTACCCACGATCGTGTTTAAAACTAGGGCATGTGAAAGTTAAACAAGTTTAGTACTTGGAAAGGAGTAGTTTCCTCCTGTTTATCGATGTAACAATCACAAGTGAGCGTAAAATACGCGAATGCGTAACTGATTAAGTAAGATACATAATAAACTGAATGAATAAATACTAGAAAGAAAATAAATAATATTTTTTAAATAATCATACCTCATTGACTAAGAATCGAATAACTTTTTCACTTGCAGCTTTCTGTTTTTCACTGCATTTTTTGCATTCACTTTCAAGAGCATCAGGCAAGAGGCCTAAATTCAAAGAAAAATATATTATTTTTCTGACAAATTGTTACGTTAATTTAATAAATATTCATGTAAGAATATTTACTTTTTAATTCTTTTCCTTCTGGAGAACAAGGTCCTTTGTCCATCAAACAATTTACGTAATTATTTAACAAACGATTGCTGGCAAGGATACCATCAACATCGATGTTGTCGTATTTGGTAGTGTACATTTTATCATCAGGACGAGCCAAAGCAATGGCCACTACAGCCAAGAATACAATTGCAATCTATAATAATAATAATACAAGTAATTATTAATTTATATCAACAAAAAAAATATTCATAAAGTGAGAATGTATTTCTAACTATCAAAGAAAGATTAAATATTCAAATCTAATTGGAATTTCAAATGTTATAACTGTTGATCAGTTTCAAGACTAGCGTAAATATTACAATGTAATTATAATATGAATAAATTAATTTTATTATAAATCAATTTTAGCTAACTGTTAAAAAAAAACAAATTAATAATCATATTTATTTTAGTAAACATGGTATTTACTCTTAAATGTTAATTGATTTTTTTTATTTTCTTACGTCAACACTAATGTTTCCACAGATTTTGTGATTTAACCATTTTAAATTTATTTTTTTGAGTTAATTAATGTCACATTATATGAAAGTTAATTTTTGATGATTAATAATAAATATTTATTTCCACTTTGATAAAACTGATTAAAAATAAGTAGATCTTTTTCGTCTCGATCATTTAAATGTGAATAAATATATTAGAGTTTTTAAAAATAAGTAAAACTATTTTTTAAAGATGAAATTTTAACAAATAAACACACATTAGATATTAACTATTTGAAAATAGTAAATAATTATTATAATATATTAATAAATTATTTGGTATATTATATTATATAAGAAAACGACAAGAAAGCAAATGTAAAGATGCATGTCATTACCTTCATATTGGCGAGTGTAAGGCGACGACAAAACTGTAACTGATGCTGGGAAGCTGTGTACCCTCCACCTTTATACCTGCTGATGGCTTGGAAGGTCCTAATTCGTCGAACTCTTTCGCTGATTGCTCATAGCTACCTTTGACTGAGACTTGTTTGTATTATTCGCACTATCGTCCAGCATACTGATGAGACATATACATATAATACATCAAGAAATCCACTTTGAGACTTGATCACACGAGCGTCAATGACGTTAGGATTTTTTATCGTTAACTTTTTCTTCCTGTACTTTTTTGTTAGCCCATGATGAAAAATATGAATCATCAATTATATAAACATTGCGATTTATATTCGAAAAAAATCAATTGTTTTGTTTATTACTGTTAGATAAAATGTTAATTTGAATTATTAACTTTTTATTCTGATGTTAATAATTAAAATTTTCAATTTTTTTTTTACTAATTGTTCAATTAAAGTCATACTTTAGATGATTGAAATTGTTATTTCTCTATGATTTATGATGGATAAATTTAAATGATAAAAAATTATTATGACATACTTATTCCATGAATAATACAAATGATTTTGAAGGTTTATGTCAGCTTTTTGCAATGATTTTTTGTTGCTAATTATAATGAACCATTCATCATCATTAATAGAACCCAGGGTATTTTGAGAAAATTTATTCAAAATAAAAAATTAAAAACAATTCTTAATATTTATTCTTTGTTTTAATTTACATAAATAATTGTCAGCATCACTGTTATTTGTATAGTTTTTTAAATTTTGAAATAATCTAAGAACTGAAAGATGAAAAATATGTCTACGCCAATATTGCGAAATCTGGAAATATATAAATACATAAAATCTTATTAGCTGTACACACATATGATTGATGTTTGCTTTTTTTTGCCTTTTGCAATAATGGGAGATTTCAATGCTTGGATATGAATCACTGTTTACCGTAATTTTAGTCTTACACGATGAGTTAGAACAAAACTTAAACTTTGTATAAGGCTTATACAAATTTATCTAATTAATAAGTACATATTTTTGTGATAAGCTATGTTACATAGAAAATTTTAATATTACAATACTTAGTTTTATTTGCTATACTATTTACAAATGTTATTGTCAATGAATAAATAAATAAACTTTGAAACAAATCAATGGAATATTTTCCATTATGAATTAAGTGATTCAAAAGATTCGAATATTCATGAACGAATGTAAACTATAATTAATTTTAAAATTAATTAATATCTATTCTTATTGTTTAAATGATGTCTAAGTAATCAATTTTCATTATATTTTGCGGAAAGATACGTATTAAACAATTTCGATGGAAGGACGACGAGTTCAAATTGTTAAAAAAGATAAAAGAATATTTTTAATTAAATGACCTTCACAACTACAAGTTTCTACGGTCAATCCAGAGAATAGTCTTGACATCAACCTCGATCATAAAATGGCCATGAACGTCAAGTAGTTATTTCAACCTTAGGAGTAATAAACATATCAAAAGTGTGATTATCTTGGATAAAAAAATTCACTTTATTTTTTTTAATCATACATTTGTAGATTTATTTGATATCATTTCATCATGCTGAGGAATTGATGAGCTGCTGGATCTGGATTTTTTTATCTATAAAAAATGCAAAATTCCATTTTTAACTAATAAGGATAATAGGCAAAAAAAATAAATTATTTGAAAAAATACATCAGATAGCAAATACAAGTAATAATCATAGCACTCAGAGATCTTGGTGGTTAAAGTTTCATCATGAATTGAATATTTAATTAATATATTCTAAAACAAATCAACCAGAAAATAACAATAAATGGATGTACCTGATTAGAAAGATCAAACAATAGAGTGGCTATGTTCTTTGTCTCTTCACGCCCATTGGACCTGCAAACAGAATATATTTTATTTATTATATACATTACAGAAATAGTTATTTGACTAATAGCTAAAACAAAGAATATTCAGAGTAGCAAATAAAAAATCATGGCATTCATAGATCTTGGTGGTTTGCTTGAATCATCATACAGAAATAGTGAATTAGTTTCTTAGCAATTTTTAAAACTAATCTTTTAAATGAAAAAAAAAATTTTATGGTTTGAATGAACGTCATTTTTCAATTACCATAACAAATAGGTAGACAAATAAGTATTGTATTAATTCTTAGAATATTTAAAAAACAATTTCAAGTATTTAAATAATTTTAATATACTGTCATACCTGAATAGATGATTAATGATGCAGAAATCTTTTAAAAATTTTAGTTCATTGGATTTTTATAAAAGAAGAATTGACAATGGCGTTGGATAATTTTTTTATTAATTGATCTGTAAAAATAATAAACTTTTGTTAATGAAAATAGGAAGAAAATTAATATTTTAATTATCTTAAAATGTACTTCAGATAGCAAATACGTCAAAATCATGGCATTCATAGATCTTGGTGGTTGCATGATTCATCATAGATTTCTAATTACTAATTTAAAAAAAATTTTATCCAGACCAGCTTACCTTAATAAATATTAATAGTTGATAACCACTCAAGGTATTGCCTGTTGAAAAAATTTATAAATTAATTTAATGTTGATTATGCACAATGTTTAATTGAAAAATAATATTACCTGAGATTTTCCAATAATCTTATAGAACTGTAATTCGAATTTATGCGTAAATGAAAAATAATGACAACTCACTTGACAGTAGAACAAAACAAGTTAACAGTATAATTTATACTGTTACTATGTAACCAAATGATAATTTTATCCCGGAAATATTAGCGATGTAATGAGTAACAGATGTTACCTAACTAGTTTTGCTCTACTATTATTGTGAGTTCTTTAATTTTTTTTTTAAAGTATTTTATTATAGAAACTCAATAATTAATCAGCTTTTTTAGGTGCTCTAGTTTTCTTAGCTGGTAAAGGCTTCTGTGACCGAAGAACAGCACTTGCACGGCGAAGAGCAGGCTGTAAATGAAATCATTAATCAGATAAATGTATTATAAAATATTTAAGTTGAAAATTAAAAATAATATTCAAATTAAAGTGATACAATTTTTAACAAATTTATTTTATAAACACAATAATAATCATGATAATATTTTCTTTCAAACCTTGATAAGATCACGACGATATTTATTGCATGACAATAAGTTCTTCAGCTTATACAATGATCTTCGAGCTCCAGCCTTCATAGTCCTTCGGATAGTAGCTTTTGCTGGTTTCATAACAGATTTGGGTTTTTTGTAGACAACAGTAAAGCCTTTTTTATCAGGAGTATCAACGACACCCACTGTTTTTCTGTGAACCAATCCAGAGTAGCGATAGCTGCTTAGGTTAGTCAGATTATTGGGTTCCTAAAATAAAGAAATTTTAGTTCATTTGTTACAATTATTAGTTTTTTGTATATAATTAAGGCTTACCGTTGAGAAGGGTTTATTGATATTTCTTTTTTTTAATAAGAAAGCATTGTTGTTGCGGACTATCATCCAATTCAAGTGGGACGACATGCTGATCTGAAAATGATTATCGATATGATTAATTTATATCCATGTCAATAGACTTGAAAATCAATTTTTAATTGAAGATAAATTAAAAAATAATTTATGAACAATAATATAGTTGTGTTAAAAAATATGAAGTTGGAGCGTAAAATAGGTTAAGTTTGACACATGTCGTTAGTTGTTATTTATCTACAGACTTTTATAAAAAAAAAGAAAGTAATATTAATAATAAACATTTTATTCTTTTAACTAAATAGAAATTTAAGTAATATTCGATCTTGTGAGATAAAATTGCAAAGCATTATTTATTATTTGGAGAATAATTTTTCACCTCGTGTATTAGAGAAGATGCAGCAAAGAAAAAGACAATCGGAAGCGAATACTGAACTCAAGTTAATTTCAAATTCTAATATGTGTAATGAATATTCATTAGAAATTTATTTAAAAAATGTTGTTTTTGTAATATTTATTTTTTAAAAATATTTTTCATAAAAAATTTTAAATATTTATTTACATAATTTTATTTATAACACTGTTTTGATTAACAATGTTATTGATTTACACCGTCGATAAAGTCAAATGTACACACGTCAACTATAGCGCCACATGCAGTCACCTCATGTATTTTATTCATTTTGTGCTAAAAAATTCTAAAAATTAGACGTCTATGTTAAATAATGTATTTTGTGTAATAAACATTCTAATTGTTATCATAACCTCACGATTATAATCAATGAACAATCACAATTTTTGTTTATTTTTTAATTCAAGGATAAATTGTTTATTGCGTTGATTCAGAAACTACAACTTTAACAGAGAATTTCAAACTGAATTTATAATTATATATCACCAACATGTCCATCGAAATTGAATCAGCAGAGTAAATATTGTTCCGAAAGTTTAACAATTATAGACGCCAATTAAAGTATATTGTTTATCAAATATTTATGATTTTTATTTTTCAGCGTTATACGGTTAATTCAACAGTATTTAAAAGAATCGAATTTAGTAAAAACTTTGCAAACACTTCAGGTAAATTTAAATATAAGTAATAATGATGATATATTTAATAAATTGGCTTTTAATAATATTTTATTCCATGTTCAGGAAGAAACTGGAGTATCACTGAATACTGTTGACAGTGTAGATGGTTTTGTTGCGGATATAAACAATGGCCATTGGGATACAGTACTCAAAGCTATACAATCTTTAAAACTTCCAGATAAAAAATTAATTGATTTATACGAGCAAGTAGTATTAGAATTAATTGAATTAAGAGAATTAGGTGCTGCCAGATCTCTTCTCAGACAGACAGATCCTATGATTATGATGAAACAACAAGAACCTGAAAGATATATTCACTTAGGTAAATAAATTTTTATTCACAAAGATTGTTTTAATACTAGTTTTGATCATTGATTAAATGAATTTTTATTGCAGAAAATCTTCTGGCAAGGTCTTATTTTGATCCAAGAGAAGCTTATCCAGATGGAAGTACAAAAGAAAAACGTAGAGCTTATATAGCTAATGCTTTATCTGGTGAAGTATCTGTTGTACCATCAAGTAGGTTACTAGCATTACTTGGACAAGCATTAAAATGGCAACAACATCAAGGTCTTTTGCCTCCTGGTACAACTATTGATTTATTCCGAGGTAAAGCAGCAGTAAGAGATCAAGAAGACGAAAAATATCCTACTCAATTATCAAAACAAATCAAATTCGGTCAAAAATCTCATGTTGAATGTGCAAGATTTTCTCCAGATGGTCAATATTTAGTTACTGGTGCTGTGGATGGTTTTATTGAAGTATGGAATTTCACAACCGGCAAAATAAGAAAAGATCTAAAGTATCAAGCGCAAGATGATTTTATGATGATGGAACAGGCAGTTTTATCAATGGCTTTTAGCCGTGATAGTGAAATGTTAGCCACTGGATCACAGGATGGTAAAATAAAAATTTGGAAAGTTCAAAGTGGTCAATGTTTAAGACGCTTTGAGAAAGCACATTCTAAGGGTGTAACTTGTATTCAATTTAGTAGAGATAACGGTCAGGTATTGACATCATCATTTGATCACACTATTAGAATTCATGGACTGAAATCCGGGAAAACATTGAAAGAATTCCGAGGTCATTCATCTTTTGTTAATGAAGTAGTTTATGCATCTGATGGACACCATATTATTAGTGCATCTTCTGATGGTACAGTTAAAGTTTGGAGCTTGAAATCAACAGAATGCATTGGAACGTATAAATCATTAGGAGCAGCAGACTTAACTGTAAATAGTGTTCATGTGCTTCCGAGAAATCCTGAACATTTTGTTGTCTGCAATCGGTCTAATACAGTTGTTATCATGAATATGCAAGGTCAGATAGTAAGATCTTTCTCTAGCGGTAAACGAGAAGGTGGTGACTTTGTTTGTACTGTTGTTAGTCCACGAGGAGAATTTATTTACTGTGTTGGAGAAGATTTTGTACTTTACTGTTTCTCAACATCATCTGGCAAACTTGAGAGAACTCTAAACGTAATTATTTATATATTTCAAGTATTATTTACTTTATTTATGAAAATAATTTTATAATATTAATTTTTTATATTTTAAACATTTAAGATTCATGAAAAAGACGTTATTGGTATTGCCCATCATCCACACCAAAATCTGTTGTGCTCCTATAGCGAAGATGGACTCTTGAAACTATGGAAACCTTAAGTCCATGTATTTTAAGGTAATTAAATTTAACTAAAATGTAGATAAGTGATTTTTATCTTTTTAATAAATTAACACTAAATCATGGAACAGAGATAAAGAATCATTTCTTTTAATCAATATAAACAATTTTGAAGAATTTAAAAACAAGTTCAATCAATAATGAAGTTAAAAGTATACATTTAAAAAAATAGATCATATACTTGAAACATTTATTATTAATTCGCATATTCGTTTTAATTTTTCTCCAATAATGTAATTTTATATAGGTTTTTTTTTAGAATAGAATATGATTTACATATAATTGTAAATATGATATAAATGGAAACAATGTTCTACAAATTATTACGTTTTGAAGATTAAGAGAAAGTAAATACAAGGTTATTATTTACCGTAACTATAATTTGATTCTTGATCGTTCTTTTGTTTGTATGTTACATCTGACATTTTCATAATTTTTTTCAAAAAAAAGTAACGTATAAGTGTTAAATAAAAAGCTATGGCGAATAAATAAAAATTTCTCATGAACTCGGTATTACTATTAACCTACTGACATCAAAAGAAGAATGAACAGCGATTTGTTATCTCATCGTGTTAATGAGATTTTGGGAAATGTGGAAACGAGTCTTTGCTTTCCAATAATTTTAATCATCTTTTTCTGTACGGCTCATTTTATCATAAGTCATGTATTGGATATCATCTGCTCAGTGGTAACAGCAATGGATGGTAGTCCAGATGATGCAGATACAGATGAATGCACGTTACCATTCATAGCTAAATTTAGAGGTGAATGCATTCTTGCATTCACCTATATCATATCAGCATAACATTCTGTTCATTGCTTCAGGAATCTTCACCAATATGGCATGTAATTTGATGTACAAAGAGATGAGAGTTTGCCAGTCCACTGCCACTTTACTCAATTCCAAACCTATAGTGAGAAATATTTGTGTGTTGATGCAGACCAAAGGAATTTCTACTACAATCGCTCAAATAAATGCGTGTATAATATGAATTGTGAATTATTTTTAAAAATGAATAATATAAATTCATCTTTTTAAATTAATTTTTGTAAATCGATATTTTACTGAATTTATAGGATTCATAGTACAACAATCTGAATTACTTTACTCTTATTCAATACTATAATGTTACAATTGATAATATTTTTTAATTATATCACGACTTTAATTGTATGACACGGCATTTGATTAGATATTTAATCAATGTAACAGCCTATTTCTTTTTTTCACATTATTCATCACTTAGATTATATGAAATTATCTTATTAATGCCATTTTATTCGTTCTCTTCATTGTGGAATTAACAATATTAAATTGATAATGTTTATGAAATTCTTATTTGTATATTTTAGTAATTTATTAATTTATAATACACTGAAGAAAAATTATTTATTACAAAATAAATTCATTCGTTCAAGAGAATTAAATATTTTTTCTCTCAAAAAAATTTTTTTCAATCATTAAATATCGAAATAACAATTAACCTAATGAAACATCTATACTAATTTTGAGCAAAGTATTTTGTAATGATAATAATTTTTTTCTTTTAAATAATCCTTATTCAGTGTAAAATAAGTGACATAATAAAATTGAGGGATATAGCTTAAGATTAATTGATAATAATAATAATAACAGTGATAACGTAGAAACACCCATAATACGCTTAATGCACAGCCAAAATGCATTTTATCGAATATTAATTTAAGTATATTTGCATTTTTTTTTAGTAAAAATGTAATGAATAAAGTGAATGAATACATGAGTTGAAAGTCATAACGTCACATAAAGACATTTTCTAATGTTGGTGATAGATTTTTCCTCGCAGGTGTTGAACTAGGACATCCTTCATCTTCAAAAGTCACCATTTTTTCACGATTTCTCGTTGCACAGGTGCCACCTTCAACAGTTGAACGTCCTAAGCACAAATTGCCACTTTGAACGCCTGATGTCAATTTTGTTTGTGATGAAGCGATGATAGAGCACGGCTTGAGCACAGAACTTGGAGGTGGTACAGCAATATCTTGTACTGATGCTGCTGCAAGATTAAATTCACTTACACTTCTTGGTACAAAATATTCAAAATGATTTGAATCATCTTGCTGAGAGTGACAACCATCTCCTCGATGCTGATGAAAATGTTGTAATGGTGAAATGCTATTTTTTGCAAATGAGGGACCTCCACGTTGAATATGAGTCGTTGGAGAAAAAGACCCAGCACCAAAATCTCTACAATCCGAAGACGTTTTTTTACGTGGTAATGAATGACGTTCTGGCGAGGAGAATTTGTTTGTTAAACGATGCTGAGCCAGGAGTTCTCCATCATCGACAGAACTCCTGGATGGACGTTGTCAGGATGAAGATACTATTGACATAGCAATCCCATTATCATCATGTTCTGATGATTGTCTACATCCGTCTGTCAAACTACTTCCACCAATATTTCCATCTTCTCCCAATTCCGATTTTAATCCTGCAAATTATATAAATATTTTATTAATTAACTTTATTACATTGCTTTTTGTTAAATTTAATAATAATAAATAATTGAATAATTTCCTCCAAATAGTTAAAAAACAAAGTCATAAGTTCTTAAACTAGTATAAAATCAAGCTTTAACATTTTTTCCTTTCATTTTAAATTTTATCCAAAAATCTATTTTAAAAATTTGACATATTAAAGATAAGATCAAACCTGTTGCTCCAAGTGAACCTGCTGTCATTCCTCCTGCAGTACCACAAGTTCTTCCAAAAACTCGGACCACTCGTACAACTTCTTCTTGCATTAAGTTGAAACACATCGCTATCAAACCCATCCCTACTAGTATATATAAAGAGCAAGCACAAAGACTTAGCTCTTCTAACAACCTTGATGGTGCATTTCGGCCTGCTGGTACCAGATCACCGAAACCTATGGTTCCAAGACTTGTAAAACAAAAGTAACTACTTTCAAGTAGATTCCATCCTTCTAGACGATGAAACATAAATGTACCAGCACATACGTATAGCAAAATAATCAAAAGACACAAACTGATAGGTATTCTCACAACACAAATAGTGTCAGTGCCATATCCAACAGTTGATGGCATTAAAGACATTTGAGAACATGCATGGAGATGTTTTTTTTCAGAATTCATGTCCTGAAATGAAAAGATAATAAAGATTATTCCATGTAATTATGAATTAAATTTTAAAATATTATTTATCATCATTAATGATATGTTTTGTGATGTATTGCGAGAATATGTAAGTTTAAAGATCAAACCAAATGTTTCAACTATTTTATTTTTAAACCTCATATTTCTGAGTAAAATTGTTCGTATGGTAAAATATAATTTAGTAAATTGCATAAATAAAATAATATATATAATAAATTTTAAATGATTATCATCTTAATCAATCACTCGATGTTAGAATGCTGAAGCAAAATCTAAATACTTATATTTGTGTAATAAAAAAAAATAATTTAAGTATGTAATAATAATTTCTGATGGTATACAATTACGATATTTTTATATAATAGTGATATTTTATTGAAAATTATACCTGGAGCGCGTTATTTGAAGAAGTTGAATGGAGGTAAAGATTATTATCAAGTCCATCGCGATCAAGTAAAATTGCACCTCCAGTTGCACGCACACCAAGCTCATCACAAGAACTGTCTTTGCTAGAATAAAAATTACCAGAAGCAAATTTGGTCGTTTCAATGTGATTGTCATAACGATGATAGCTTTTTCCTATCAAACCAGACATAGCTGATTGTGAAACGAAATATTGACCACCAGCGTTTTTTTGCTTTTTTCCACAATCGTTATTTCGATGACAGAGTCGACCATACAACCGACGAAATGAACGAGCAAAAACATCACCTATTGTGCTTAGGTACACCAACATCAGAGGTATTCCAGCCAGTGCATAGACCACTGTAATTACTCGACCCCAAATGGTTCGTGGAGCTACACTGCCGTACCCTATAAAATAAATGCTAATTGATATCGACATTATTAATCAAACATGAAACAAATTACGTACCAATAGTCGTTATAAGAGTCAAAGAGTATAACAAACTACTGCCAAATGTCCATCGTCGATCACTCATTGGCCTCGAGTCTTTTAACCGATCGTGGCCTTTTGATGACCTCTGAATTGTTCCTCCATAAACTGAAAATGACGACCGGTCGTGATTAAGACTTCGTGCCATTTTCTCTTGGAAATCAAGAATCTCGCGTTCAGCTAAGCGTGTCCAATTTTCTTTGTAGAGGACGTTTAAAAGCTCGGTGATACCCCACAACCTTTCCACAGTATTGGCTCGTAATTGTCGAGCAGCAGCGTCATCAGATGGTGATTCCTAACGATCAAATTATGTAGCAAGCTTAGTCTCATCTTCTTTAATCATCTATTTGACTTGAACGTCGATCATTTCTTTTTTTTTTTGCAGTTTAATTGAATAATTGATATAATCGATAAAATAATCGATGGTTTCTACATAAACTCAATTGTTTAATTAATCAGAATATTTTTTTTTTACATTTTTATTTGAATTAATTCAATATAATCAACTATTTATAAAACAATTAATCATTTATATTTACTTACTATTTTAAAACCACCTTCAAGAGCCATAAATGCAAACGCACCGAGAAGTGTGTAGCCAAAAACCAAAACACAAATTCCAAGGCAAGCAAGAAAACCTGGTGTTTTAGTACTTCTTGTTGTGGAGTAGTTGCAACAACAACACCACAATTCCGAGGCTTTTACTGTAGTCGATATTCTGAATGAATTTTCAGTAGCATTTCCAGTGGTATTTGAGTTTGAATTTGTGATTGCTGTGCTTGATGCTGCACCAGTTAATTGAGACGCACGACGACCCGGACAGGATCGTGGTGTTCTCTGATAATAATCACTGGCACTTATTTGCATTATTGTTGGCACCAACTAAATCTATTTCCCTTTATTTTTATATTCTTATTATCACGGCTGTTGTAATGTTGCCACATCAGATGTCCACAGTGATGATAATATGTAAAGTAATAACCAGTTGGGACACCTTGATGTCTCAGGCGCCAACATTTCTCTGATATCTGATCCAACATCGGATCGAGGTCTAAATAACTTTGCTCTATTGTCCTGATGTCCATAGGAATTCTCATTCATTCTGAAAACAATGAAACTGATTATTATATTTCATTTACTATAAAGTATATAAATGTTGATCAGAAAAATACTTTCATTTGTATTTAAATTTATGGAGTTTCATTTTAGATAGAAAAAAAAAATCTGACGAACAATATTATTACATAAAATGAAAATTTATTTTTAATAAATTAAAGACTATTTAAACAAGCACTTGGAATTCTGTTCTTTTCATAATATTGAAAAATGATAACAAATAAAATCTTTACCGTTTCAAACAGAAGTAATTGTATATTGATAAAGTTATGGCAATTAATCAATTTATCAATAAGAAAACTTTTTTACAGTTTTTATCAATACTTAAAAGAAATACAGACTATTTTTATTTAAAATATAAACAAGAATGAGTGTTGAATTATTTTTATGATCAAGTTAATTAGACTGTTTATGAATAAAAAAAAAAAATGCAAAATCTCCATCAACTGTTTGCAACAGACGGAAACTAGAAAAGTTGCGGTGGCGTCAGCGGCAACTCTAGTAGCATGCAATCGATAGCCGTTGTATAAGAGAGGGATACGAAGAGACGGAAAGACTCCAACGTGACAATATGGGGATGCTGTTTTCGCAAATACATATGTAAACTTATCAATGTATTTATAGATTAATACAATATAGTTGTGCTATTATTACTAAGTAATGAACCAAAATAACCTATAAAAATGGCAACAGACTGATAAGAATAACAGTGTAGTAAGTTTATTTACATTATTTCATCACAGTGAGTTTAATCAGTGATTTTATCACTCAACAAAAATAAAGAGTGGCTTTCATACACATCTGAATTCTACCTTGAGGCTAGTAACTCTTGAGATTATCGCGGTTCATTCGCACACAACCAACGTATAACGAGCAACCGTTTCATCATGCTGTCCAATCACGTTGCTCGGAGATGATTAAATGGCAATCACCGTGAATCGTTACAATGAGATAAGATAATTAAATAATAAAAGTGATTCAGTGACGAATCAGAAAAGGTAAGACATGAGTGTATGAATTATTTATTACCTAATATACGTACGATTTATCAATATGACTTAATAATATTAAACTTATTGACTAAAGTATCATATGTAGATCTAGAAATTGAGGCTGAAGTTTATCAAGAAGTTTATTTCTCACCTCATCATTCAATTATCTCTACTCAAACATAATTACTTTCTGACCACTAATTATTTCCAAGCTTCATGCCAAATCTTCATTCACCGTCTCTTGCTAGGTCATTAATTGAATAAATTATAAAAATAGTAGCACGCACATCAAGTGATCGTTCAGTAAATTTACAATGTACATAAGATCATCACGTAACACATAGTAAGCGTGAAAACGCCCTTGTCATGTTAGAGATGCCACTGAACTACATGGCCACTGGAAAAAATGACTACAGAGGGTGCAAAAGCAATTGCGACACGTTAAATTTATTCGTATATGAAAGAGGGAAGCTCGCGAGAATCGCGAGAGCGTCTGATACGATGCTTTGGAGCAGAGAGGCTTGGAGAAATCCGCGCAGAATCGACAGTCTGATGAACGGAAGCTGGGGGTGGATATATAGGACAACTGAGTGGACCAGGACGCATGAGCGCACAGTTGATATATCAAAAAGATCCTTCAGCATACCCATTGTGTAGCACTGTTGCTCTTTTTTATATGCAGCTTTAGAGAGGAACCGAAAAGTAAAGAAGTGGGAGACGACTATATTATCCATTAAACAGGTACATCGTGATATAATCATCGATAACGACTTGAGTACATGCTGGCTTGATAGGTCATACGAATAGATTGGAGCTTTGCCAGAATAGTTGAGAGACAGTTTCATGCTGGTAGAAAGGAAAGAGAATATCAGATTCAATGATGACTGTTCGTAGACCCGGATGCCAGAATTTAGGATCCATGTTATCCGGTAGTATATGAAATATCAGGAAATTATCAATGATAAAGAGATAAAGATATCCAAACGTATTGCTTTTAAATTGTTTGTATTGGAGATCAGCCAGTACCAGATGTCTTCCTCAATCATACTGGAATACATCAATAATACATCATAAGTTGGTGTTATAAATAGTCAGCAAATATGTATATAGAAAAGATATTCTTGAGTGAACTCACCTATTTACGAGTGTCAGGTCATATTGAACTCGCCATTTATCACTCGTACATTCATTTAAACTTTTCCAAGTTTATCTGTCACACCTGAGAACGTGCTTTACTGATCGCGTGAACGAACGTATTTTTGCTATTACCTCTTCCTGCATCAAATTGAAACACATAGCTATTAGAGCCATACCTGTGAATTACAAATATCATTATCAATATGTTAATTTATTGAGAGAAACTGAGTTCTTATTTTCTTTTTTTTTCTCTATTATTATTTGTCTTTCACCTAGCATAAGATACATCGAGCAAAAGATAAAGGAAAGTTGAATGCCTTCTTTTGAGTAAATTTCATCGCCTGGAACAATATCTCCAAAGCCAATTGTTGACAAAGAGATAAAACAAAAGTACGAGCCATCAAGGAAATCCCAGTCTTCCCATTCAGAAAATAGAAATGCCCCACCACAAATGTACCTGTAAGTAATAAAGATAATATTAAATATAAAAGATATGCAGTTGATAATGATGTGAGATATGATAAATGTGTGACGTACCCAACCATGATGCTGAGACATAAAGTTAATGGGACAGTAATTTGCTGAGGATCATAATGACTGCTAGTTTCACCATCATCTTCATCGTCATCATCATCGTCCTCGTCTTCATCTCCATCACCACTTGCTGTCTTTGACACAGAGTCGATCTCATTGTCTAAACTAACGGTGTCAACGTGGCCTGGTTGCATTCTGACCATCTAAAGAAAATTAAAAAGTTTCAGTAATTGTAAGACAAATCGAGTATGATGATACTAACTTGCCAGGTGTTTTTCTGGCAAGGTTGACTTGATGATCTGGAACCAGTAGTCCGGTTTCGTGGCATACGTGGCCTCTTTCGACATCTACAAAACAAGACAAAATAAGAGTAATAAGAGAAAAAAATGAAAGACAAGCAAGGGAATGATAAAGCTGACCTGCATAGACAGCAACGGGCGTAAGTCCACTTAAAGCTTTTCGCGAGAATATCACCAATGTTGCTCAGGTACAAGAGAAACAGGGGCATTCCGGCAATGGCGTAGCCAATTGTAATTACCTTGCCCCACATGGTTCTGGGGCACGTATTGCCATAACCTTGAAAGCAATCATTATGGATCTCGTCTTGAAGACGATAGACATGCCTGAATAAATCAAACACTCACCAATTGTTGTAATGACTGTTAAAGAGTACAAGAAAGCCCCAGCAAAACTCCACTTTCGATCTTCTTTCGAATCCGTACCATCCCATCCATTTTTTCCAGCCTGAATGACAATATCTTGATATCCCTGTAGAATTGTATCGACTTTGGACTTCCATGTTAATTCCGAAAAGACATTTTCCTAAGTAAAAGTTTATTTACGATCGATTTTAGTCGATAAGCATTTATGTTAAATATTCTGCAGTGAAAGTATATTATCATAATGTTTTTTTTTTTCCTTTACCTTGGTCGTTAATTTCCACAATTGAATAGCAGTTTCATTTCTCGATGATGGTACGTTATGTATAATTCCAGTTTTACGATTGTGCGTACCCTCAATAGCTTCAAATATAAACGCACCTGCAATGGTATATCCGACAACAAGACAAACGATGCCAACATTGCTAAAAAGAAAAGCTATAAATGCACGAAACCAATCGGCAATTTTTTCACCCAATGATTTTCGTTTTTTTCTTCTTCTTCTATAGCTATTGCCCTCTTGCCACTCACGTCCAGATGAGCCACGTTGCCGTCTTGAAGAAGAGCCACGACTACTCCAGGTATTATTTTGGGATTCTCGTGATACTCGACCTCGAACTGGAGTAGCAGTTGCAGTCCACGACCTTGTGTCCTCCATCATCGATAAAAGCAACAGATATAAACATCTTGATTGGTGAATGCTGTATCAAACGTGGTCACGTCTACGATATTGCTCATCATCGTTTACTATACGAAATTCAATCTAATCCGAGATTGACCACGTCGTTTAGTAAAGCACGTGCTGTGGCTTCACTATACTCAATTAAACACTTGTAAATGACTTGGTATCGAGCACGACCTCAATTCTCGTTGCTCAAACTCACAATTGGTTTGTCAGGGAAAAAATTCTCTACGCCAGCGTTTTACTGGTCTCAGAATTGGAGAAGAAAGTGAATGAGGTAGATTATTGAGAGATAAAGTTAATCTAAAGGAAGAAAGAAAAAAATGAGGTAGATGATAAAGAGAGAAAAAGTGGAATCGTTTCAGCTGGAACCTCTTGGGTGTACTACCAGATCGTGTGAGTCTGTCTCTCTTGGTACGCCGGCACACTAACTCAAAATAGCGCATTTCTAAAATTATAATAGTGGCCTGAAAGCGGTGCAGACGAGACAAGCGGAGAGGAGTAAAAGAAAAAAAAAACATACGTCGTGACTTGTACAGAAATGCAGACTAAAGCACACCTTCTTCTAACCACTATATGATATATAAAGAAGATATATTGAGCCATTATTACATTGATAAATCTTAATTCATACTTTGTCATAATATATTATAATTTTTAAACAACTCAATTCACCCTTTTGTCAAGTTTTATGTCCTTTCAAGATCACGTTCGTGGATAAGATATCTTCGTCCAGGATAGACATCAGGATATTCACAATCATAATTTTCAACATCATAATCATCATTTATAGCCTCTACATCATTGTAATAATCGTCTTCGTCATCATCATTGTCTTCTTCCTCTTTAATAATACCTAAACGCTTCGCCACGCTCTTTACATTAGTTATTACTTCCTCCTGAACCAAATTAAAACTCATTGCAAGTAGAGCGATACCAAAAAGAAGATATAGCGAGCATAGAGCTATCCCTTGGTGAGCATTGAGCCTATGAGCTGGTACAAAATCACCAAAACCTTTAAAAAATAATCAATCATGTTCATTATTGATGGTTCTTGAATATAAAATACCAAGAAAGTGATGATGATGATAATTTTATTTGTAGGACATACCTATTGTTGTTAGAGTGATGAAACAAAAATATGCAGAATCAAGAAATATCCATTTTTCCCACTCAGTAAATAATACAGCTCCGCCTAATATGTAACTAACAACTAAGAATACACACAGCCAAATTGGCACAGGTTTTATTGTTTGCTCTTCGACCGCAGTTAAATACTCGTCAAACTCAATATCATCAGCATAAACTTGACGATGAACTGCGAAACCCATTGGTGACATGATTCGTGGTGATGGTGCTTCTCTTTTATGTACTCGTGCTAAAATAAATTCAAATATTCACACGTATTTAACTCTTTTATACATAATAGTTATGTTACTTCATATTTTTTACTTTCTATTTTTAATAAAATAAATTATTATTAATTGTTTTAAATGAATTATTTATAATTATCTACTTAAACAAATTGGATACTTTAATTTCAATTATTACTATCTGTTATTATTTATAAAATGTAAATACGTGACATTTTATTGAAAATTCATATCTTAATTGAAAATATTGAATAATAATTATAAATAGATCAATTAAAATTAATGAGATAAGAAAAAAAAATTGAATTGGTAAAAGAATAAATTGAATATACTGATAAAATTAGATTGATTTTATATAATAAAAAAAAAAGAAAAACATTTTATAAGGAAAAGAAATTTCTCATATTACTTTGCAAATCATTCTTTTATAACAAAGGAATATTTTCTTCAACAATTGATATCTCTAAGAAGATGAAAAATTCTTGAGTAAAGAATAAATTTCATTTAAAACTTGAAATAATTTTCTAACAATAAGTAAATAGAGAAAAAATACTTAAACATTTTATTAAGCTGTTTTTCTTTTTTTTTTTTGTTGAAAAAGAATAAAAGAAACTTACAAGTATAGCTAAGATTACTTCGTGGACGTCGTACACCCGGAACAATTCTTCTAGGTCGTGCCATTTCTATATATGTGCTTCGATCGTTAGTAGTTCCAGGTTCGACAGAATGACATCTTCGAGTATTCGTTGGCCTTTCTGTAGCACGAGGTAATGTATTTTCTAACTTCGATATATTACTTCTTGTTATATTTATTCGTGGAGGTAATTGAAGTTCATCAACGAATTCTATCATCAACAAAATATGTCAATATTTTATTATATCAAAACACTGATCAATTTCGTTGATAAAAAAAACCTATTTACCATCTTTATTTTCAGCAAAATCAGGTTCATCAAGGGCATACTTGTTAAAAAGGACTGATGTCCGGTCGATGTCATTTGGAGTAACGAGTAATCGTCTATCAAGAGATTGTGTCGCTCCAGAAATTGTAGTGGTCGCGATTCGAGCTCTCCCACTTCTTGGAGTTGTTGATGCACATCGATTGTCATAAGTATGTCTAGATGAATGTATTATTTGTAGATTACGAGGTGAGGCCGTATTGGGTAGAGTAGCGGAACGTTTTGGAGAATCATTGGGATTGCCATCAATATCATAACGTCGTGATGCTTGATATCGAGGTTCTAGATCTAACTGGGTGGATCTTGCTATGCTTTCTGACAATCCAAGAGCTGAATCTGCTGATCGTTGACTTGCCCTAATAGATCTTCGAAGTGATGCTGCTCGGGCTGATCCAGATCGCCTTGAATTCGTCCGAGATCATGTACAAATATTAGTCTTTGACAGAAAATATTTTTTTTCTTCAAATTTCATTCTTCAGGAAAGATAACAAAATATACATCTAGTATTTTATAGAGTTAATTTTGATTTAAATACATTCATAATGAATTAGCAATAGCTAGTTAATTAGCTAAAGTTAATTTTAATTAATTTACATTCAGTTAAATATTGTCCCTCAATCTTCATTTAAATTTAAACTTTAATGTTAAATACAAAATTATAATAAGAAGCAGATGACGTTAGCAATATCTAGTTTAATATGAGTTTGATCAAATCAACCTAAATAATGGTTAAAATAGATCAGAGTTTAACTGAGTCATTAATTGAACCAATTAGCTTTAAAATTGTATAAAAAAGTTAGTTACTCTATTAAAGAATGAATGAAGGTTTTTTATGAATTGGAATTTTATAAAAAAAAATTATTCTCAATCATTTTTATATTTATATTTAAATGGGGAAAAATTATCAAATAAAAAAGTTATTATCAATTCAACAGCTATACATCATGATCATGATTATCTTGAAGCTGCATTGGAGGTCTGCTTGATATCACCAGAGACACATTTTCGATAAGAGTTCAATTATACATCTATGAATGGAACTATGATGAAAAAATCACTTCAACTAACATATTGAATAATGACTATTTTCTAATAGAATCAAAAATAAGCCTCGACATCAAACTAACTGATTCTTATAATAGCATTTTCTCCTCTTTGAAGTCTTCCACGATTAGTTTTTGTTAAAAGCAAAAAAAAAAAAATTCAAAGAAAGTTTTGTTCACATTTGCAACAGTATATGAAATGTAAAACAAGAACGTGTCACATAGTCAGACAGAGCGTGACAGAAAGACTAGCATCAACTTTTGAATAAATAAAAGACTTTTGAAAAGTTTTACATGTATAGAAACACTTGATGTAAAAGCATACCCAGAACCTTGACGAATGCTGTATCCTCTAATCATATTATTGCTTCGTACACGTCGAGGTTTTGGTGGTCTGGTACAAACATAACAGCAAATTTTCCAATAAAGGAATCTACAAATAAAATATTCAGATGATAAAAGCAAAATAATTTTATTTGATTAAAATGAATAAAAAAGAAATTTTCTATTATCGTTTCTGAACTGATGAGAGGTCAATCAATTTAATCATGTAAAACTAATTGAATGATCGTGTTCTTACGATTGAATGAGTTAACTTACCTAAAGCTGGAAGCCATCACATCTCCAATATTCGATAGGCAGAGCAACATCAAGGGTATTCCCAAAATAGCATAAAAAATAGTAACAACTTTACCATTTCGAGTCTTAGGTGAAATATGACCATAGCCTGAGATAGATTTTTTTTTTAATTTTATTTATTATTCTGAAGAGTAATTTATATCTAGAATTCTGTTTCAACAAACCTATTGTTGTGATAACAATAATTGAGTAAAATAGAGCGCCTGCAAAAGTCCACTGAATGTTATCAATGTTTTCGGTACCATCCCATCCTTCTTTTTTCATTTTCAACAAGAGATCCGTTTCAAAAGCCTGTAGGTGAATGTAGATCAAGTAGAAGAATATGAGAATTCTATCAGACTTACCTTTAGTTTCTCTACTACATCACGAGTCCAATTTTCTCTTCTTAAAACCTTTACTGTTTGTGTCATTGACCATAAATCTTCAGTTACATTACCGCGAATGTCTTTAATGCTTCTTTTTACCTAAAATATTCGTAGAATAAAACATTATTTATTTTCACGAAAATTTACATTCATCCATGAAAATAAATTCTCTGGAAAATAGAAAAAATGCAATAGAAATAAAAGTAGAATGAATTTATTATTCAAGCATTTAATACAATAGTCATAATAGTAATCACTTTATGTAGGGTAACATTTTTTTATTTTTTTAAATTATGTTTTGCTCTAATTATTGTCGTTAAAAAGTATTTCAACAATTAAAAAAATATTCTTTTATCATTTTTATTAGCATTGTTTAGATTTTTTTTTTTTTTCAACTAATCAGATAAAATTTTTCCTCAATATTTTTACCTTGACCAGAATGATCACATTTTTAAAAGTTTATAACTATAAGTATATAAAAAATAATTACTATCAATTTTATAATTATTCAATGTATTAATAATAGTAGGATATGTCATCATAAAATGTAGGGTAAATATTTATTCCTTACATCTAACAAGTTTTTAACTAAAAAACTTTAGATAATCCTAAATAAATTCTCAATAAAAAAAAAAATGGGATTATCTAAAATTTCTTACAGAAAGTTTAGTGATAATTGTACATTAGTAGACATACAAGTATCATATCACATCCTACTTTTCATCCAGTTTCATTAAGTTAATTAAATAATTAGAAAATTACATGTCTTTTAAATGATTATCTAAATTAATACAATCATAATATTTAATTTTTTTAACATATAGAAAGCTCACATATTTTTGTAATTTTAAATTTCAATTTTATATAAACATGTTGAACAGAGATAGCTATAAATATATCATTCAAATATTAAATAAACCCATAATAGTCTTTTATAAACTGAAGCAATAAAATAATATTACTTATTGCACATACATGGAATTTTTATTTTCGAGATTTATTGTTATTCACCAGTCTATAAATTGTAAATGTTTAATAAAATAGAAGGTAATCTATTGTTCAGGAAGTTTATTTAATGTTAATAAATGTTAGCTTTCGATTCTTATAGATAAAGAAAAAGAGGCAAAGAAAATGTTGATAATGTTTTTCAAACAAAAAGAAGGCAGAATTGATGAATAAAAATCGTCAGAAATTTAATTGAAAAATTCAAGAGAAGCACGATATTGAATGCTATCAACATTATTCATTCTGGGAGAATTTAATTCCAACAGATAATAAAGAGTTATTAGCTATGATAATTAAGTGAGAAGCATATTTTATTAGTTGAAACTATTTTAAATATTTTTCTATATAAAGAAGTGGATTTTAATTATTTTTCAGTAACAAAAGATGATGTGAAAAAGTGAACATACTTCTCTTTCATGTTCTGCTTCAAGTATCTCAAATGCTAAAGCACCAAGAACGCAATAAGCAACAACAAGTGATACAAGTGTCACATGTGAAAAGATGCATTTGAAGAATTTCCATATAACGTAGAGGAATGTTAAACACTTGGAAGATGATTCTGATTCAAGTTCTAACTCTGTCGACTCCATAAAGTTTTAGAATTACAAAGTAAAGCCGGTAGTAAATGTAATGAAGTAGAATGAGTTACGTCGACAAAAGTCTCCAGTGAATTCGCGACTATGTAACTCAAATAGTTGGTCCAAAACTGTACTACGTGGCTTAGAATATCATTTTCATAGCAGAGCACTCGCCTCATAAATAAAATGCTGCTACAGAAGCCAAAGATACTGAGAGTTTGCAAATAATGAAATAAATTTGTGGACCAACGTAAATTGACATATTTCTGAAATTTTAAATATATCTTTTCCTATCACTTCACTTCAAGATAATACTGTTGACAGAGACGTCACAGTGGTCCAAAGGATGTAAATGATTTTTCATCAACTACTGCTACATCTTGCCGGCATGTGGAAAACACAGCATCGTTGGTTACGTAGGCGGCTGTGTTATATTTATCTTCCAACCACCCACCACCACCAGACATTAGTCGTTTTAGGATCTAGAAGACACTTTCGCTCAAGGTATGCCAGTCTTCTCTATTACCCATAACTACTGTCAGCTTTCATCTGACCATTCACGTGTTCTATTTTTCATTCTATCAAAGTAAAGAATTTAATTCTTTGTTCATATCCATTTAAACATTCTTGTTACTAATTTGATGATGGAAATATTTCTAAAGTATTTTAATCCTAGACTAAACTTAAAATTTACATCATTCTGTTCAACACTGGACTAGAATAAAATGTCTCGATACAATATTTGATAAATTGCTTCATTTTCTAAAGGTATGATATTAGATAAAAATTAATTATAAATACTCGTTGTTTCATTTATTAACCATTCCATGATAATAACAACAATGTTGAACTGTACAGATAGAATATTCTTAATATAACGACTTGTCAATTCAACATATTTAAAAGCCTTACAGTGTAATGGCATGTACATAGATGTACATAAATTCGACATAATCGCACACATGCAAATCAAATGGCGAGTATAATAAAAGCTAACTATTCATGGTGCAACATGAATCGCCCTCTGTTCCGCTAGCCGTCAAAGTTCCGCTAAGATACCCAGACGGACGGGAAATATAGTTATTTTTTTTTTTTCATATCTTTAGAGAGCGATCGAGGCTGACCATGAAATGAGGGAAGAAAAATAAAACGAAAGAGTGAAAGAGAAGTCCTTGAAGGCTTTCATCGTTCCGCGGATCGCACATGAAGTCAAGGACGGATTCAACGACGTAATTGGTCCATAAAAATCGTCTGTTCATTGCTAAGTATCGTTCCGTGGAACAAGGAATATTAACGATATATAGAACTGATAAATGAACTTTTATGTATTTGCTAAGATAGAGAGAAAGTAATTAAAGATTATATGAGATGCTAAAAATGACCTCTCACTTAGATTTAATACCTATCGCTAGCTTGTTTTATATGCATTAACTAGAAAAAAAGTTACTTTCATTTTTGATAAGAGAAAATAAATAAAATAAAAAATGATAAAAATATAAAATTGATTCGCCAACTTATTAGATAAAATGATAAAAGAGACTTGGATTAAATGAAATAAGAGAAAGAAGAAAATAGAGAGTTCTGTTATCCAGGACCGAAGAAACCAAGTTTTACTAAAGTATCAGTAACTCGTTCCACAAGTTGATCTTTATATCGCCAGATAGTTGTATCTACAATGCTGTTTTTTCTATACTGAAGGCACGTTTTCTTGAGGGATGTCACGCAATCAGCTCTATAGTGTTGAAGTTGAGCATCCTCAGTCTCAATTGGATAGCTGGTACAGCCAGCGCCAAGGCACGCTAGTGGAAAATGGTTGTGCAGGGTGACAATGCGTTCCGGATTATGAAAGCACTTGATGTACTCATTAGGTTTGGTGAAGTTCATGGAGCGGTAAACATGTTGAAGCATATGCATATACCTGTCAAAGAGATACAGTTACAGTATCCTGTTTCATATTAATCATTTATTTGTATAAAAAAATATATATTAAATGATTATACACGTGTGGAGATAAATAGTGATAAAATAAAAAAAATAATGAAAACATGATTCTACACACAAGAAGAAAGAGTTGAGTGCTCACTCACCTCGGCACGTGGTCAAAGAATCCATGTGAGTGGAGAAGGTCATCGAGAAAGTATACATTTCTGACGTTGTATGAAGCACGAGTCTCATTGCGTATTTTAAAAGCCTTGGGTAGAACTCTTTGCATCAGTTCACTCCACGTAGAATCCTGAACTGGCATGATTACTTCATCAATGTCTAGCAGAACAATGTACTCATATTCATACATGTGTTTATACAAACAGTCATTATAAGGTATCAATTCATTTTGTCGTTTGTGATTGGTTTTCTTCTTAAGATACATGTGCTGAAAGGCAGGAATATTTGGCTGACCACCAGGAAGAGTCAATGGGGTTACTTGGACTCGACCTAATTGACTATAATAATCCAACACTTTAGTTATATTAGGATGCACTTGTAGTTGATAGAAAAAGATCTTATCAGCACCAAGAATGCTAATTAATTCGATCCATTCAACTAAACGCACAGACAAATCTTCATGAAGAAAGTCAAGACCTTTAACACACACAGCAAATTCCTTCTTCTTTTCGGGTTTGTTGTAAATAACTCGTAAATTAGTGCTAGCTGTATCACAAGGTTTTTCAACAATAGAAACTGAAGCTGGAGGACTTTTTGCCCAGTGAGTCTGAGGAATTTTACACGCTATCACATAAGGCTGATAAATGCCTTGCTTATAATTACCCCACTTTGAATACCATATATATTTATATTCAAGAACATCAACTATTTGCGGTTCTTTTTCTTTATCAAACCACAACTGACAGTAAGTCTTCACCTTTGGCTCAATTCTATCAATCATTCCGATGATCCTAATTGCCGGCCCGATCTTGGATAATTTTCTATTATCATAATAAGCTCCATACAACTGGAATGTTCCGTTACTAGATTTAAATGTCTGCCAGTAGATGTTGTTAAATTCAAGCTCAAAAATACTTGGATATCGTGGTATACAACTTTTTTTTGCCTTCGTGTCATTGCTAGAAGTGCTTTTAAAATTACTACTCTTCATCCAATATGCAAGAGGTAAACTAGGTAATCGACTTTCAATCTCCTTGACAAGTTCCTGTTCTGTACGTGGTGGTCGTTTATCAAGCAACAACTGTTTATCATTTAGTTTCTTGACTCTTTCATTATCAAGAATAGGACTAGCGGAATGATGACTAAAATCATTAGGAGTTGGAAAGAATCCTTTTGCTAAATCTTTAATAGAAGACGATGATGATGAGGCTAATAATAATGATGACGATGATGATGATGAAGATGAGGATGATAAGGATGATGGTTGATCAGATGACCATGTACCAGTAGATGGATAGTTGACATCAGCTCCAAGTGAATTGTGTTGCAAAACTTCATTGACAGATTGACGAAATTGTAGAGCTGCGATCATAATGAAACTCCAAACAAACACAAAGACTAGGATACGTCGAGCACATCGTGATCCTCTACTTGAACAAGTTTGTAACATATTGAATGGATTATTGGATAACTCCACCATGTGGATCATCAACTATTGCTTCCTGACGTTCGATTGAGTACACTCCAACTGAAAACAAATGATATCAATGTTAAATAAAAATTGATTTAAATAAAGGAGAAAGCCAAGCTCGCATGCATCGATGCAGCCATGCATGCAAGGATAAAAGTGCAAAAGAAAAAGCAGAATACGACAAAGATAGAAAGAGAATCACCGCCTAAAGGTAGACAAGCGGGTCTTGGAGAATCCGCGTGAGCCAAGCGGAACCGGTTGCCGAGTTTTTCCACCTCGTCCTCCTGAGCGGTGTATTCCGTCACCTCAACTAACGAGTCTCCAACATCGACATCCTTGGCTTGCTTTTCACCAGACTACAAAATCTTTCTAGCGTTCGTTTGATCCAATTGCTATCATCAACAAAAACTTTCTCATCATGTCTGGTGCCAAGGGAGAAAGGATGAGCCAAAGTATCTCCTCCCTCTACTCTTATGTATCCCTTACTCCTCCTTTGGTGCCGCTTAATTGCTCTAGTTGCCGCAATATCGTCAGCATTTTCGCGTCATTTTACTAATCGAGTTGCGTTTAGCTGAAGACACTTTGGCACAGGGGGCGATTTCTCCTCCGTATTCGTGACTTGGTGTAAAAAAAAACCCACCTAGGAAAAAAGAAAGAGAATGTTCGCCCCGACATAGTTGCAATGATTACTAGCATTACATGCAAAAAGATGAAAAAAGAGAAGAAGGCAAGCAGAAAGAACTAACAGTAAAGTATCAGTCATGTTTAAACATGTTGTCTTCATCAATTGACTATTAGTCAATCCAATTCGTTCATTACCCGGACGTTGGAGATTTATTTATAACTACTATTTTATTACAATCACAAGCATCGCCAATCCATGCATGAAGTTGCGTGATATTATAAAACGAGAGCAAAGTTTAAAACTTACAGGAGTGAAAATGTGCGTGAAGAATAACATCCGGGAGATGAACCCTTCAATTTGTCCGGACCAAAAACTCATCTGTTTGTATAATAGAGCCATGTGTACTCGATCTGTAATAAAACCGCGACAGTTTGATGTTTTATTGGAATGTTATTCTACCAATCGAATAGTCTTTTAAGAGTTTGTTATTAGAAAAATTGATCAACACCATCACCGACACAATCACTGCTGTTTTCGATTTATTTTATATTCAATACTACTAATGATGATGGCATCAGTGCAAAGTTCCTGTTTTATAATTCGTCAATTGAAGACTGAACAGCAGCACGCGGCACACATTGAGACCAGTTTACATCTGAGTTACTAAGAGAATCTCTACTCTCCGTTGGTCTCTGTTGCTTGCCAGTCAACACTCTGTCTAAAGACCCAGTCTAACAGAGACGACGAATTTTTTTCTTTCTCCCTCTCTTCTCAATCACTTATCTCCTTCTCAAGAATTGTCGATTCTCTGAGGATTTCTTCTCTCTCTCTCATACAGCCTACAACGTACCCGATACAACGATGATGGCTCGGGACTGCTGTTGCTGCTGCTACTGATCCCTCCTCCCCACCAATAGTCATTTTCTCCCTCTTTGTCCCTACCAAACCACATTACCAACTGACCTGTTCTCGCACTCGATGCCTCTGACCGGATGCAAATTCCAAAGATGAAATTAACTTTCTTTTTATTTTTTATCATTTTCTATATTTAAATCTACTTCCGACTTTATTCAAATGTTTCCGTCATATCGAATTCAATCATCGTTACTATGTCAGTAACCTAGTTTCCAAAAAGGGCCCATCTTATTCTTCATCTTTTTATATAATCCCAAAGGAATTCTGTATTAATTTATAACACTTGTCAGGAGTAATTTATTTTTTTGAATCCCAAGACATTTGTAATAATACAAAATATCATTCATTGATATTTGAAGAAATAATTACTCACTATCATTCAACAATTGATTCATTTATTTAATAAATTTAATGAAAATAAAAAAAAATTCCTCTTTTATCATTCATTCTTTTATGATTAAAGTATGCTTTGCTTGGAATGTTATTTTTAAAAAATCGTTATGCTATTAAAAAATAAAGAATGAATAATTGGGCTATCTGACCACCAAGATTTTATCAGCAACATATGGAACTATGAAATGTATTTTAATGATAAATCATCTTAGATAGTTATTTTAAAAAGCATTAAATCATGATACTAATGTTTAAATAGATAATTTATATAATAGCAGAAATGAATGAAATAAAAATTGGGGAAAAGTGTAGGAAGTTGAATGAATCTAACGAAGAAATGCCAAAGGGTGTATAATTTTCAGTATATCTTTAACCAACCATTACAATTTTATGTTCAACACGAAAAGACCGTAAATCACAGATGCTTCTGTTGAAGGTTAAATCTGGCATATTCAATACTCAGTTAATGTATTAGCAAATAAATACTTGCAGAATAAAATGACGATAAAGTTTAAGAGGCAAAAGGTTACGAGTTTCTGCAACTTCAAAGTATATGCAGATGAAAGAAAATAAATAAAAAAAAACAAACTAGTGTAAATAGTGTCGTTTTATTATTATTATAGAAAACTCTCAAACATTTTGTGCTGTAAAAAGCATTAATTGAAAGTAAATAAATGAGATATTTTATGTAGAAAAGGTTTAAAGCAGAACACCAGTTAGAAGATATTGGAAAAAAATAGTTCAATATGTAAAATACAAGTTAATAAAGACTAATTTTAAATGATAATTATGTTGTATTAGAATATTATTCATGTATTAAGTATTTAATTATTCTATTTATATATCATAATATTTATTCTCGAACAATCTTATCAATATGACCAGAATCCAGTACCATTATTGGAATTTGCTTCCTCAATAGTTTTTTCAACAACCCCTAAAAGGCAACCTTTTTTACTAGAAAATTCTCTCAATAATGTTCAGCATATTCTTGATGAATCATTTTTTGAATTTATATTTAAAATAAATATAATTCAATAGATGATAACTACTTAATTATGTACAACTTCAACTAATAGCTATACGTAATTATCATTGAAATAAGCCAGACAAAATGGACCCTGATTAATAGTCAATGAATATTAAATATTAATTGAAATTAAAAGTTTTTTTAATATTCTTATCCTACATATGTGATAGTATTAAACATTTACATTGGAACAAAAAGGGAAAAAGTATCACTCTTTGGAGCAGAGTCTAGAAAATGTTGGCCAGATAAAAGTGAAACTTTGGTGACAGGCAAAGTAGTTACAATCACTACTGATTATTGTGACATGTATAATTGCATCGAAGTATAAAACTGTCGCGATTCAAGTTGGCAGTTTTGTATTATTATATCATATGTATGTATCATATAATTTATAGAGAAACATGAAGAAATAAGCTGAAAAAATAAATGTGAATTTTAAAAGAAAACCAATTACATATCCTCAGCAATTGTTTCATAGTAAATCACGATACTACATATGTATCCATGTTTAAGTACAAGATTGAATAAGAATATAATATAATAAATACTTATGTAGAAAAAAAAATATATCTTTAAATGAGTAAAAAGCGAGAGGTATGAGTCATGTTGCAACGAAATCTACTATCAATGTATCTGTACAATAATGTGCACTTGGAGACGTGGTAAAAGAGGTCCTTGAATTTAAGCTGCTTGAAACAATCGTTTATGTTGATATTGATATCAAAATGGACTGAAATAATACAAGGAAATTATAAATATTGTATAATTCATTAGAAAATCTAATAACTTATTTATCAATTGTAATAGATACAATTTTTTACAATAACAAAAAAAGATGATGAACAACAAATAATGTTGTATTAAATCAAGTATTGAATTCAAACAGTAAAGATGATAGATATAATAAATTCGACCTTAAAATTTTCACTTTCAATATACTTATGATTTTATCGATGTCTCCGTTGGATGATTGAAATGCAAACAGACTATCGAGTGTCGAGGACATGCTGAACGTGACTTGCCCATAATATAAAGTCGCCAAATATATTCTGTATACATATCATAGGTAGATATAATAAATAACAATGAAGTATTTCATCAAAAAAATCAATTGATAATTGAATGTATAATTTTATCTTAATATTAATTTAGGTATTTCATTTTGACCAAAGTATATACCTTTGATGATGGAATCTAAGGTTTGTTTACGTTCATCAAATTATGACTAAACCTTCAATTTTTTCATCTTCAATCGTTTATCTTTTTTAGATGCTCACTGTTCAATGCACACATACAATACCTTATAATTATCTTTCTTAGTGAATCAAGATTCTATCAAAACAGGATGTAAACTTCTGAGAGTATCGAATAAATGAGGTGCTTTTTGCGTAGTTAAATTTTTACTGTAATTATTAGTATCTAAATAATACCATCATCATTATAAAGCAGGAAAATAGATATTGCACAGAAGACTATGATATATTACACATTTAAGTTTTTTCATCTGCGGGTTTATACGAGGTTAACATTTAATAATACTTAATAAGCATAATTGTTAGTTTAACACTTTCTTCTTTAGAGTAAAGAGAGAGAGAGTGAGATATAGGATACCCTTTCTTTTACCAATTATTACATTATTTAACCTTTAAATATAATCAAAAAAATATATTTTTACATAATACTACATGACGAATCATAATATTAATTAGTTATTTATTCTTTATGCTATTAATTTAACAATTATGCGGTCTGATAATTATGAGGTAATAGAAATCCTTAACACATTTTATTTTAATGCTCGTTGTGGTTACAGTAGCAATTAGATTTCATTTATGCAAGCATTAAATTATTTTTTTGTTGAGTAAATAGAGTGGTTGCTGGTTAAAATTTTTATTTCAAATCCTTTTTTTTTTCTCTAGTAAATGAATGTAAATTTTGTTCAACAAAAATTTTAAATTAAGGAAAATGCGTATCACTTAAACCTCAGTTAGTACTTTAGATTAATGTGTTTATTAACCTACTTAGGAATTCATTTGTACACTAAATGAGTAACAAAAAAATGTTTACCTCAAAATTCCATTAATTTTAGGACGTGTTTCAATTATCATTATAGCACATTCACTTTAAACAGAGATTCACAAAATATAAATAATTACACTTATTAATTATTGCATGTTAAAAATTGATAACGAAGTAAGGTTATGAATTGAATCAAATTTACAAACTGGTTTATAAACTAAATTTTTGTGAAAAACGATAAGAATTTCGCAAAAAACTTGACATTTGCTTTTTAAAAATTCAATATCGACAACTTGATTTCTTAGGAACTTGAAAAAATTTTTATTGTTTTAATTGGTACGCTTGATTCACTAGAGATACGCGCGCCATCGCGGTGTCATGGCGGCGTCCGCCCCACCATTATATCTCGCCCTACCTGGAAATATCCAAATACGTGCTTTTGTCAAAAAAAGTATACGTGCACTCAGGGAAAATTTGAAATTTTATTGAGATAAATAATGGTTTGCAAGGTTGAGCCCCTTCGAGGTATTCTAAATCTTTTTTTTTAAAAATGGAGTGAACAGACATGGGTAATATTTATAATCCCATCACAAAAGGACAAAAATGTTGATATTCCTAAAAATGCTAAACCTTATTTCTGAAATTGGCTTTATTTATTGCAACGACTTTTAACTTTCATTATTATTATCATCATCCAATTATGGAAGTAATTTGGACAGTACCTGTCCTTACTAACAGCAGACTCTTTTTAATCGGATTATAAAAATTTTCCATGTTTATTGTCTAAACATTTCCAAGTTTTATGGTCCCTGCAGGTATTTGACTCTTTAGCCTGCTTGACTCTCGTTCATCCAAATCAATTCCTATATTTTCATTGGTTCAGGTGTACATGTGCGCCACGACTCTGTCATGCGTGCTATCATATTTTCCAAGTGGAGATGGAATAATGGTGGGGTTTGCTCCAGTTCGAGTCGACAGCGCAACCCGTCTTTTGGCAGTTTCGACTATAGCCATTCTCGAGTTAGTTCGATTTTATAATTGTAAAAAAGATAAATATTTTTTAAATATTCCCTTCACCATTGCGTTGATTATTATTGTATGTTGGAGATCTTGTGTTGGTCTGTGTAATCAATTAATCTCATCTAGTGAAGTGTCAGTAAAAAATTCTCCAGTTACCGTCATCAAAGAGATCATTTTTTGACAGACATTGAACTTTTTTTGAAGGTTAAAAGTGATTACGAAAAGTGATTTTATAATAATTACCAATATAGCTCTGTTATTGGTTGTGATAAATTGAAATATTTATATTGGAATAAGAATACACCATTTTTTAACCATCAACATGCCAACCTCAAAAGAAATCAGCGTCGCCGTAATCTGTTCCAGTAACATGAATCGAAGTATGGAAGCTCATGCCTTTCTAAGGTAAATATAAACAACAAAATGATTATTATCGAAACGAAAATTTCAATGTTTAATAATTTAGGAAGATAGTTGTACTACTAATAGTGCAGTAAACCTATGATGAAATTCAATTCCAAGATAAACGATAATATTTGTGATATTAAATGATGCTTCACAATTAGAATTTATTTATTACACAATCATGAAAACTTTGATCGTTTTCTCTACAAGAAATTTAGATAAATATGTGCCATTGAGTTTAGTTTTTAACCCAACTCTGTACATTTTTTATTGCTAAACTAAACGGTGGAATCTTCTGATAAAGTGAACTTGATTCTTCTTAATTATTAGCTCTCACTTTTAATAATTTTATTGACTAATCTTTAATATTTCTTAATGCAACAGCCTTTTTAATTGTAAAAAAAATTTTAAATTTCAGTAAAAAAGGCTTCAAGGTTAAATCATTCGGTACTGGAGACAAAGTTAAATTACCAGGAAGTGGCCCTGACCGACCAAATGTTTACGATTTCGGAACATCGTATAACGAAATCTACAACGATCTCCTTGCCAAAGACAAACAATTATACACACAAATGGGTTTACTTCACATGTTGGACAGAAACAGAAGAATAAAATCCCGTCCGGAACGATTTCAAGCAACAAGGGAAAAGTTTGATATTCTAATAACTTGTGAAGAACGAGTTTATGATCAAGTGATCGAGTTCATGGAATCCAGAACGCCCGTCACCAATCAACCAGTTCATCTTATCAACATAGATATTCAAGACAACCATGAAGAGGCTACAGTTGGATCCTTCCTTATTTGTGAATTAGTTACTAGGGTAAATAAAATAATACCAAATACATTAAAACTTTTCAATTATGTTTGAAATAAGATCCAGTCATATATGACATCATACTCAGACAATAAATAATTAATTGATGAAATATATATTTAAAATGAGTCTGTGTGAGGACAGATGATTTTCTTATCATATTTCTTTTCATAAATAAATATAATTTTGGTAACTTTTGCATGATTGCATATTGAGTGATTCAACATGAAAAATAAATCATGATTTTCAAGAGTATGTCTGTTTATTGAAATTTTTAAAATCGTTATTTTATATATTTCATCAAGAAGAATTATTTTACAAATACTACTGAGACTGAACTCTTATAAAATGTTTAAATTTAGCAATTGAATTGTTAAGTATATGTTTAACGATATTTTTATATATTTCAGCTTGCCAGAAGTCATGATTTGGATAATGATATAGACCATATTCTCGACGAGTTTGAGTCGGATAAAAAGGCAAAGATGATGTTACATACTGTACTTTTTTATTGAAAATATACTGTTTAACTAATTCACGGATCGGTCATTGGTTTCGACAATTCTTCAACGTACTAGAACGATGACGGTCTTCAAAAGGATGGAAATGTGGAAGAACATTAGTCGAGAAGAATAACGATCGACAAACGAAACATAGACTGTAAATATAAATATCTGTAAATGTGTTCTCTAATCAGGCGATTTAATTACATCAATGATGTATAATATTAATTATTTGTAATATATTTTAAATTTTTACGTATTTACTCATTAAAGGAAACATTATTGTAGCTTATTCAATTGATAAAATATGTTCTGATAAGGTCATGTGAATATGGTAGTTTTATTTTTATAAGGATATTTAGTTACACATGTAAATGAAAGATTAGTTATTCAACCAAAAGTTAATACATTTAAATTTCTTCTAATACTAATTTTGACAATTAATTCAAGTACTTTCAACTAAATTAAAAAATCAGCCAAAATGTAAATTATGGTACCTTTTTTTAAACAATTATTACACATTGTATGATGGAAAAAGGATGTAGTATTAATTAATTATAATTAAGTTGAATAAATGTTATACGAGATAAAATTTTTATGCATTATTATTTATTTACTAGATCTTATTAAAATTTATAATACAATCTATTTTATGTTTGAAATATTACTGATAGTAAGAGAGTACATTATGGATGGAAATTAAATTAATTCGTTTGATAAGAGACTTATGTTTCTAAATAAAAGATAAAAATGAAAAATCTTTTTGAAATATTTATTTCAACATCTATAAACTTGTTATCATCATTAGTGTATATCTAAATATCTATACAATCTTCTTAATTTTTCATGTTTCTTTTTATTTGCATGTTTATTGATTTTTTTCCATGGTTTATCACCAAGACTTCCATCACTATTGGGATTTATAGGAATTTTTTCTAATCCTTTCATATGAACACCACTTGATTTATTCTGGAAAAAAGTTTTATCCATTTCTTTTGTATCAATACGTACTCCTCTACTTGCTCTTACTTGACTTGGAGGTAAAACTCTATTTTCAGAATAAATTTTACGTCTTGGTGGAAATTTATGAAATTCACTCTGTTTTACATCCGGTGGAGCAACACAGTATAGAAGTTTCCCAGTAACAAAGTCTTTTAAAATGTATCGAGCAGATCGAGGATTATCAGGCTGTCCATTTTGAGTCATGAATCCTCTATTATATCCATAAGTATTGAGAATTTCTTCTGCAGTTGGCGGACGATCTGGATCTTCACCATCCATTGGAGACGGAAGCATAATACCATATGTGTCCTCGAGTATATGTCGAGGAATCCATGTTCCAAGAAGTGTAACAGATGGAACATGATCTCTTAACTGATCTATTGGTAAAATTCCATGTAAAACCATTTCTGCTTTAGTACAAATAAAACTAGGCATTACTAAACCGGGACAATCACACAATAATAATTCTTTATCTACATAAAGAGTTTGAAAATGTTTTGTTTTGCCTGGTGTTGCTGATACAGATACTTTTTTATCAGCTAAAATAGCATTTATAGTTGAACTTTTACCGACATTTGGATATCCAACGAGTCCAATAGTTACTACATTTTCTAAATGATTCTTTTCACTTCTTCTAATTGACTTGAACAAAGATATTAACATTTCTCTTGTTAAAAGTTCTGGTGAATTAGCTTCTAAAATTTTGGATTCCTCTACATCATCTTTTGTACTATTTATTATTGTATTTTTTTCACTGTCTGTCTGGTTAGACTTTTCATCTGTACCATCATCAATAGCACTCTCATATTCACTTTCAGAATTAAAATTTGTAACATACGATGAATGTGATTCATCCTCACTTTCATTTTCACTTTCACAGTTGTCATCTTTATTATCATCTCCATAACTCTCATCATTTTTATCTTCCTCTTCTTCAATTATATCTGTCATTTTAGTTTTTGAAGTTGCTGTTAGCCTTTGACCTTCAGATTTTTGTGACTCCGTTACAGCTAGAGCTGAAAAGAAAGCTACACGAACTCCTTGATCTGTGAAGTAATCACACCAAGCTTGTCGTTGATCAGTAGTTAAAAAGTCAGCCTTGTTAATAAGAATCATGTTGGTTTTATCAGCATCAACTTCTTTGACATATCTCTCTAGATCTTCACATCTAAATAATAGTGGATTTCGAGCATCAACTATTTGTACAATAACATCACTACGTTCAACAACACGCCAAAGTTGCCTCCAAAATTCTAAATTCTTTTCATAAGGTGTCATCGTTAATCCTTGTGCTTCTTGAAGCACAGCTAATTGTCTTCGCCATTCTAAAAATTCTTCATTCTCTTTTGTTTGCAATTCGTGGGCAGTTGTATGATCATTCCATTTAGGTCTTCGTGGGATCTTTAGTAAAGCTTCGTTTGATTTATGAGTTTCTAAAAGTTCAGCTCGCTCTGCATCTGATAAAAGTCCTATACTACTTTGTGGATTGACATACTTTATGTTGAGTTTCTCCGCGTGAAACTCTGTTCCTGCTAGTTGTGCAGTAGACAAAAATTCTTGAAAGGAACTTTCTTCTGTGACAGATGATAAATTTAAACGATCCCATTGATAACCATCATTAATATCTGCTGTATGAAGCTAAAATAAAGTTTAATAGTTACATCATTGTTTTATTTTTATATCTTAATTAGAGAAAAAAATTTAATATTGCATTTTAGAGTTTATAACCTCACCATAGATTCTCCTCGTTTTTGCTTTGAAGAACCAAACCTATTTTTCATTAAAGCTCTTCCAAGATCACTAGATTTTCCTTTTCCTTTTTTACCCATTTTTGTTAATAAATAAATTCAGAAAGTAGTCTTATCACTAATTGATTTACTTGATATATTTTAAATGTGTCAATAAATAAATCACAGGCACATGGTAAACGTGATCAAAAATGACGCATGAACATGAAGAATGTTCTGTCGGTAATGGTAGTTTTGACAACAAAGGAGTGAATTGTATGAAAAAAATTTATATCAAAATTTATTAGATAAAAATTACATGACACAATGTTATGAAATTACTTAAAGATTTATTATGAAATAGTTTCAACTTAGAAATAAAATTAATAATAAATAATTAATAGAAAAAAAAATTAAACAAAGTAATTAGTTGGAGGCAAAGATGTTTAATTCGAAAAAATGAATATACATTTTACAACCATATTATACAAGTTACAAACATAAATAATGAAAATTTTTAGAATAATCAAAAATGATTTACAGAGAGAAAAAAAAAAATTTATCTACAAAAAAAGTATGCTATAAAAATTCTTCATAAAAAATCCAAAAATATTTCTAAATTATTGAAATTTATATTTCCGAATAAATACGTTAGATAATTGAAAATTTAATCGGATGTTCCTAAATTCATCATATTATCATAATCAATCAGCTCTCACGTACATATACACGTATTTAAAATAGATGTATATATTCGTACAAGCATATTAGTGTCGTACATACACATTCATTTATCATCACTTATACAAAAAGACCTTCTCAAAGTGCAACTGTACACAGCGGTGATGAACTTTCTTTTTTTTCTTCTTATTTTACAGTAAATTCAACAATTGTTTTAATTTAAAAAGCCACGCGGCAAATTGTGCAATAACAAGAGATTGCTTCTATTTCATATACATTGCAATGATGCTATTATATTGTACATAATATAATTTTCGAAATATGGCATAAGTTTTATTGTATTTTCTCTATTTATAAATAATAAATAGCCATTACTAATGAGGAAACTGTTTTAATTTAAGAAGCTAGTTAGCTTTAGCATTTAGCTTATACATTTTTTATCGCAACTGCCAAAGCGATTAGACGGAATTTTAATGACAATTAAAATAATGAACACAATAACGATAAAAAATATATATATAAAAAAAACAAGAATTATACGCTAATTAATTAACATTAATTTACAGTGGATTTGTATTTTTTGGCATAGAATGTAGGGTGCAGAGTGTTTAACGACAACGACTTGGTCAGTGGAGATCATCAACCCAAGCTGTCTCCAATGATTCAATTAATATGCGTACAAAAGCCATTTCTTTGCGGGCATTCTCCAAAATCACCCGCGGATCCTGAGAGGTACAACGTAATATATTTGGTGCCATTACCATAGCAAGATTGTTTGCATCCATTTTAGTACGTGCAACCACATCTGATCTAGCAAAAATCTATGAAAGAAAAAGAAATATAATATAATTCATCTGATTAAAATTTAATGATTAATAAAAAAAGAAAAAAAACAATCATTACCTGAAGGAAACGAATAAGATGACAAAGTACACGTCGATTAAGATCTGGAAGTCTTTCAATAATTGCTGCAGCATTAGTAGATGCAGTTTCACTCTCGTCATGACGCATTGATACACATTCAATGTAAAAAATATCGGGTATTAAAGGTTCATATAATTCTCGAACCCATAATTTTAAAAGTGAAGCAGGAGCATGAGCATCTTGAGAAGCCGCTAGATTGGTACCATCTTCAAATCTATCTAGACAAGATTTAAGTGCGCTGACCTCATCAGCATCTGCAGATACACGGAAAATTCCCTCTGTCATGGTTCCTCCTCTCATAAGTACCTGGCGAGTCAAAGTAGTCTGTACCCACGGCAAATCTCTTTGCGGAAAACGATCTTTTTGAAGTGCCATTACTTCAGAGAGAGTTGCGCCAAACATTGAAGCTCGAAATATTTGAATCTAGATAAAAGAGTAAATAAATAATTCATCTAATATCCCAATGCATTTATTTAATATTATAACAATTCTTACCCGAGCTTGATCAATGTCTTCAATAGTGGCTTTACGTGGCTGTCGTTTACCATGCGCACCAATACGTTGTAATCGTCGACAAGCAACGGTTGCATAATGACTAACTTGTACATGAATCGGCCATTTAGCTACTTCAGGAAATTGGAAATTAGGATCACGATGTCTATTCATATATCCTTCAAGATAAGGCTCAAAAGTTGCACTAGGAGGAACAAAAGCTAAACATACAGCCATTAATTCCCATCCTCTTCTTAGACTTTCTTTTCGTGGATTTTCAGTTGTTTGCCGACATATTTGTACATATAATTCATCACGAAGAGGTGGTTTTGAGAAGACTGTATTAATTATTTCTGTAGCTACACCATCTAGTGTCATTCCTACATTGGCTTTTCTATCACCCATGTACACTTGAACAAGTCGAAATAAATTGCAAGCCTCTCTCTTCAATAACTTTTCACCTTCAACAACATTAAGCATTGGTCTTGGAATAGGATCCTTCGACCAACTTAGAATATCGCGAACACTGAATTTTTTTCGAAATAAAAGTCTTAAACCTTTGGGCCTGCCACAATTTAAATTAAGATTATCTTGTGCGTATTTTTCAATATCACCACCGCCCGTTGAATCATCACGACGTCCATCGTCGCCATCTGCTATATCATAACTCTTGACTAGGCTCGTAAAAGCTGTAGATGCAGGAAGAGAAGTTGGTCTTGGACTGGCTCCGACAGTGCTACTATCTCTAACTTCCGTGTGTGAGGAGATTGTAGATCCAGTTTGTGGAGTTGTTGGTGCTAAAGGTGCAGTAGATGGTAATGTTGCTTGAGTAGAACTTGCCCCGTGGGATCTTGTAAGTGTTTCTGTTGTATTATAGTACGTTGCCAAGCCTGCTGTATCATAATTCCCAAGATCTACGCAATAAAATTATAAAAGTTAAAAATAAAAAAAAAGTAATCAAATAAAGAGAAAAAAAAATTATCAGTACTAAGTCTAACCTGCGTAGTGATCTTCAAGATATTCTTGACTGGAAGAATCACCTTGATTACTTGCAGCTTCATCATCAGCAAATTGATCATCAGAATCATCATCTCCTCTACTTCCAATTCCACCATCTCCTCCATCGTCAATTTCTCGTCCTCCATCTTCATCCAGAGAATCATCCCCTTCTTCTGTTAATAAAGGATCTCCGAATTTATAACAACCTAAAAACATGATTAATATCTTATTTCATCATCTTGAGAGCAGAAAAAAAAGTATTCTTCCAAGCTCAGAGTTTATTTTTTATTTCATCTAGCTTCTTAAAGTATTTATCCTTGGTGAGTAATGAACTGTAAATTTTTAATTATAAAATACACAACATCCTCTACAATTCTATTTTTAATCTAATGTTATTTAAGTCTTTTAGAGGAGCTTTATTGATCATGAAAGATTAATAGATTTTTGTAGAAATATAATTGATAAGATAAGCTACAGTATAGAACTATTTGATTTGTATATAACTGTTATGGGATTATTTTATTCTATTATTCTTACCAGAAAGTTTAGCTTGTTGAAGAATATAATGTTGAAGCGGTAATAAATGATCAGCATCGACTAGTAAATTTCCATAATAAGGCGATGCTGGTGGACTAGGATTACCATTGCTTCGTTTTTTTCTTGAATCATCTTCTTCCTCAACCTGCCCACCAAGATCATCACCGATTGCACTGTTACTACTACTATTACTACTATTACTACTGCTTGAATTGCTGCCGAGTCTATGCCTTGAATGATCATGATGACTTTGGCTCACCAAATAACGTTCATGCATCGAATCATCATCTCTATCACGTCTCCTCATCATTTGTTGTTGTAATTTTTGTTGTTGTACAAAACTATAGCTTCGGGCGAGGGCTTGTTGCGTACTTTCCATAAAATTATTGCACTTTGTTCTCCCATAGTCATCTCTATCTTTATCTCGTTCCCAATCTTTATCTTTACTTCGTTCAGATACTTCAAAGCTCCTTTGTTTTGACATATTACCATGAGGTATATTAGTTCTGGATAAATTTTTACCAGATTCATTTCTACCGGCTAGCATAGCACTATAGACATCTCGAACATTTGCTTCTGATAACGAAGCAGCACAACCATGATGTCTTCTTCCAATACTACCTACATTACTACCGCAAATATTAGAAGCAGTAAGATCAGATTTATTGAGATTTCGCGAGTGAAGAGCACCTGGATAGAAACCTCCAGGAATATTACTCTTTTCAAGGCTATTAACTCTATCTCTATGATACGATTCTCGTTCTCGATCTCTGTGATAACGATTAGCAGACTCTATGAGTGAACCAAATTTGTCATTCTGAGCTTTACAACTATGTGACGGTGGAATCTCGGGCGGGCGGTAAGGAGGCATCTCTTGACGAAAAGTTTTTGAGTCAATAGCAGACTCTCGGTACGGTGAAGTACTTGGCTCGGGTCCATACGATCCACGACTACTCTCTCGACCTATTTATGCAATTCGTCTTATTCACAAATTCATAAAATTAGACTTTATCAATGTAAATAATCTCAACTTACCTCCATTTCTACTTTTATCGGACTCTGTGCTTGTCACGCTTCTTCCCTCTCTCTGATTTGACGATTGATGCTCTACAAATGATTTTTTTTTAAACAGCGGCGTACTTGTTGAAAGAGAAAGACCAAGAGGTGGAGGTTCTCCTGGCATTGGCGTACTTTTCTGATTCTTCACATTTTCAAGAGTTCCACTCTTGTGTGATCTCGATTCTAGTGCACTGCCTGTAGGAGTGCTATGAGTACGATTAGAAGAGCTTGTTGGTAACTGGAGTATGTTAGAGCGTTGATGATGTCGATGCGGGGATTCTAGCAACCTATATGCAGCAGCGGGTGATTCAAGAGATGTACGACTATGTGATGCAGAACTGTCACTCGAGCGTCCTGAGTCTTGTGAATGATTATGATGCCTTCGTGATGATGGTTGTTCATGATGTCGATGATTATGCCTATTATTGTGCTGATGATGATGATGATGGTGATGATGGTGATGATGTTGTCTCCTTGAAGAAGGAGAAGGTGATGGAGGTGATAATTGTGGATCAGTACTGATTCCTGAGCTACGAGGCTTACATGCACCACCACCAGATTTCTGGAAGACATATACAATAATGCAATGAATTTTTATTAAATATTAGTAGATTAATAACCAATATTTTATTTCCTTACCATTGATGCAGATAAACTTGAACTTTCTTGATGATCATAACGAGATGACCGTCCTATTGGAGTAGTTTGTGTTTGTGTAGATACTAATTCTTTCTTCCTCGGTTCAACCGTTGTAACATCTGTTCCTGAAGTACCATTACCTGAGCTACTACTAACTGCCGGTTCTGTATTTTGCTTTAACGTCTGGAAGCGATCATATAAAAATTTATATACATTTTAATTGCAACATTACATAGTTTAACTGTAGAATGCTAAGTTTACATCAACACCATACACATTCACTTCCTACATAGATGACTTGTACAATTTATTTATTTTATTTTACTTCTCATCAACGGATCTTTAAATTTTTCTTAGCAATTTAGCTCACATTCTCGTGAGTCGTTCTTTTTACAAACGAAAAATATCTATTTTTAGCTAGAAACAGTGCGATACGGAACCAGACCGACGCATCATACATACTTTCCTCTAGCATTGAGATAAGACAAGTCAAAAACATCAAAGATAATAACAGTTGATTTAGTAAAAAAGGAAAAAATTACCTGTAATTTAGCCAATGGTATAATATCACAGTCTGTAGGTCGATGCCAGACAGTTTTTTGAGATGTTGCATTATAATAATAAAATCGCGAAGTCTGTTGATCGAATAATTCCCACCATTGATTATTGTCCGTCTTCTTTCTGTAAAAATCAATAAATGAACATGACGATATATTTTATTATAAAGTTATTATAAATTTATCGTTAATTTAATATAAAAAAGTTTCACGTACACAGGAACTCCTGGCGGTGGATCCCATACACATTCACCGGTCGTTAAATTGGCATACATGTGCTCTTTGGTTCGCGGCTCGATTATCTCTACCCACTCCATTCTGCTGGAAGAATAAGTATCGAGAAATATTACACCAATGTTCTATAATTAATGGAAAAAAAAAAAAAAAACAATATACATACATTTATTGTAACATTAAAGAATGCTAGATAATTTATGAAGCAAATCATTTAACGGACAACAAAATTCCATCAAGTAATACGTAATTGTTCTAAAATCTCACAAGCTCCCCGCTAAAACTCATACAAGTGTGATCCATAGCGTGTATCACCAAATGAAAGGAGTAGAGGCTGATGTCATGCAGGCCATTTAATTGGTTAAACGAGGCTGAGAAAGTACGTGCACTCGTTACACTTACGTGGATGAAAAAGCGAGTTCAAAAGAATCGAGAAAAAGCAGGGGAGACTTGGGTTTCAAACGAAAGTGAGAGTATGAGTATAGACAAGCGATAAAAGCTAACGATTGCATCACTTTGCTCTTGATTTTAAACTTGAGATATCAGTTAGCCTTCTTGTCAATTTTTGACCACGAGACCCACCCTATACAATAAAAGTGCGCAGAGTTTATTCTTTTTCTCTTTTCATTTACTTATTTTATTTTTATTTCATTCTCGACCGTTGTGTCACTAAAATTTTATCACAGGCAAATTAGAAATATCGGAAGCAAGAATTAACTATTGATTTATGAGTTTTAATATCTACATGTTCCATGCCGTGCCCCTATTCACTGCGTACCCTATGTGTCACCCTACCTACAAACGTAAAATTATTTAACTAGAAAAGTAAGTATTTATGATAAATTATTTTTAATTTATTTACCTTTCTGATGCCATGGCCATTAAATATTTTTTTGTTAATCCTTTGGATTTAATTTCGTGATGAAATTTAGTGAGAAATAAATATTAAAGGTGAGTAGAGCAATAAAGGTTTTTAACTTGCCCTCTCGGTCCACTTTCACAAACGTCACTTTTTACTTTTAATGATCTTTCACTTATTATGATAATTCATTTATTAGCATAAAAGATAAAAGAATAATTGACGTGTAGCTAAATATTTTTCTTTATTACAAAATGCTTCCTTTATCTTGTGAAACGACACAATTGTGGAAGAATCACTGGCGGCCATCTTTCTGAAAACCAATCACGAGCTAACATCAATCAAACAGTCACATCCTCAAAGGCTAATTGTCAATGGGAAGCAATGATAATACTTGAGATAAATTTTATTGTAAGTGAAATAAGTAAACCAATGATGATACATTAATGTAGGAGGGAGTGGTGAACAGAAAAGTAAAAAATTCGAATATAAAAGAATATGATATCACGATTCGCGGCTACTCGACGCCGCTCCTCGGACTACTGTAACTACAATCAGCTATGCGACAGTTTGGCACTTGCGCTATTTCAAGCTACAGTTACAGACGTAATTATCTGCATGCTCTTTCAACAAAAAATACAATGTTTAGTTGTGTATTGTACTTCTTTCAGTTAGAAAATAATAAAATATTATGACAAAATGTAATCAACAAAAGGAATATTGATTTGTTTTTAAAGATGACGTAATTCTCATGAACACACAGATGATTGTAGATAGAATTTTGTTTGATCAAATTTGGGGGTTATGGAGTGAGATTTGTAATTTTACTGATGGTAAAGAAGTCAATTTTGCATATTTTATCGGTTGCCAATTCAAGAACGAAAAAACTTCCTACAATACCGACTGAAGCAATGATAGATTAGACAAAATGAGTTTTGAAAAAATTTAAAATAAAAAAATTATTAATAAATTTTGGATTTCGAATGAAATCATCAATAAAATGAATTTTTAATCATTATTTCCTAGCACGAAAATTTATTTACTTAGTTTTTCGAATGGAAAAAAATCACAATAAGAAACTTAAGTAATTTAAGTTTCAATGCATTTCTGTACATGTTTTTTTCAAAATCTAGTCCACGATAAGATTCATTAATATCATAAAGAATAGTCCATTCTTCATGATTTATATGGCAAATTAATCATCACTATTGTTTGTGCAAGACTGTTATTGCTGAATTGATATAAATTATTTTTACAATTCAATTGAGTTAATGTCAAGTAGTTAAATTAATAATATAAAGTCATCAATTTCATTATATACTTTTAAGTTTGTGGTACAATTTATTTTTCTTTATTTAATGCTTGAATAAATTCTTCTAATTTCTCTTGAATCTGCCGCACACGTTCTAAAAAAATAAAAATACAATTATTCATTTATTTCATACCTGGTATTAATTTTTTTAGCAAATTATTTAATAATCAATATACATACTCAGTTCTTCTGCTAATTCGACTCTTCTCCCTGTTAATAATTTCTGCTTGATCTGACTATCTTGACTGTAATCTTCCAATACTTCCTTGATTTCTTTATCTAATCGTCGAGCTTCTCGATTCATGATTTGTTGTCGTAATGCTTTTGAAGTAACTTTCAGCATTTGTTGGATTCGCCAAAATAATACAACATCATTACACTCGGTCTGGTATTTGGAATAAATTCATAAGTTGATTGATTATAATTAAAAAAATGATAACAAACTTTTAATTCATGCTTGAATTACCTCACTTTCATGTCCATTATGATACATATAAAATGCTTTTTTACAATCATAAGCTCTCGCTAAACTTTGTTGAAGGAAAAATCTCCTATAAACTGGATGCCAAGTTGTTTTAATCCAATCATCATCAACTTCAAAACCATTGCGTTGAAGATTTTTACGTATTGTCGTTAGTTCATCTTGTGTTAACGTTGGTGGATGTTTCTAAAAATTAAATTAACCGAATTATTACTATTTTTTAATTTCATCTAAATGATATTAATTTTAAATTTAAATTTGTGGATAATAAAATTGTACCTTATCAGCATATAAAATTTTATCAAGCTCATTTTTGACAGCTGTTCTTTTTGTTTGCTCCTCTGTTTGACTTTGCCAATATAACAATCTTTCTTTTCGACCTGGTCCAAGCATATCACGAAGAACTTTTTCAGTACTTTGTAATTTATCTTTAACCGAAGTTTCGAGAAACCGAACAGCTTCATCCCAGTCTCTTTTATCATTGACATTTCTGTCTTCAAGAGCATTCAATTGAATAACTCTCAACATTTGAGATGCTTTCTCTTCCCAAAAATGTCGATTAATAGCTTCACTAACAACTGCATTTTTAAGATTATCAAAAATATTATCATGGTCAGGACTTTGTTTTGCTCGATTCAAAAAGTTCTCAAACTCTTGTTTTAAACACTCCCAACCACTTTCAACACTTTTAGCAGGAAGCTGCTGTTCTGCCCATTGTTTTAATTTTATATCTACTGCAGTATTAAATGTACCAGGATCACCTGTCTGTGCTGCGGGTAAATAAATATTTTCAAATACATGTGTACTAACTTTGTCCCAAATTCTATCTAACAAAGCCTCTTCCCAGTGTCTTGGAGAAAGTTGTGATAAATTAACTATTTCATCAAGGATTTCTCCGCGAGCTTTTTCAAATAACTCATCTCTATCTAATTCACGAAGCCTTGGGAAATTATTTTTCCATTCAGTTTCCAAATTAAATCTTGTTGCTTTAAATGCATCAGCTTGCTGTTCAACAGTCTCTCTAACCATTTTCCAAAAACATTCAGATACTGCTAGACTTAAATTCCTGGTGGTAACTTGACCTGACATTACTAAACCATCTTTAAATAATTTCGAATTCCTAAAAAATTTTTCTTCATAATCTCTTATTGTTTGTATGCTATCATCTTGTCTTCCACGACCAGTAACAACAGCAAAGTATCCTAATGCTTTCATTGGAAATAGTTTTCCAGATAAAATTTTTTTCACTCGTTCTGGATTCGCCAAGTTCTCTTCCGCCATATCCACCTATAGAAGAATATTAAACAACACTTATTAATATTTATTCATTTGTAGATGATAAACAATGATGAATATTACCTTAGTAAGAACAAATATTGTTCGTTTGCCCATTGGATCCATTTGAGCAACCAAATCAGTTACATTACTTCTCTCAGCATCAACTGAACCATCTTGGATACAAAGAATTATCGCATTAGGGTTACTCATATATTGTTGGGTCATTTGACGAATGGCATCACGAGTATCTTCTGCCATATCTACTGTAACTGTCTGTTGTATAAAAAATAGCCATATAGAATTAAAATTTTTTTAGTATTTGAATTTCTTTCGCTCAAAAACTTACACTAATTATTCCAGGTAAATCAACAAGAACCATTCGTTGAAGACCAGGTCCTTTTACTGTCATTGATATAACATCTTGGCTCACAGTTTTTCCATTTTTCACGCTATTTTTCATTCTATACTCAACCTCTCGTCGCAAATCAATTAATTCTGATTCTTTAGTCAAATCAAATTCTCGTGAACTATCTTTGAATTGAGCAATATGGTAAGGACCTTCACTCAAAGTTACTTTAACTGGTGCTCTAGTCATCATTTCTCCTGCTCCTCTGTAAAAAAACAAGCATTGATAATTTATTTCATGTTACTCTAAATAATAATTTGAAAATGATGATAGACTATTAATGTATCAAGTACCTAGGAAATATTCTAGCTTGAGCAATCATTTCTAAAACAGATGTCTTGCCAGAGCTTTGATCTCCAACTACAACAACCCGAGGTAAATGATCTGCTGTTGAATAAGCACTATCATAGTCATTCAGTTCATCCAAGACATCACTGTACATGTCAATAAGTGATTTCTGTCAAAGAATAATTTTTTATATCAAGTAAATTATAGTAAAATAAATCATCATAAAAAATACTTACCTTGATCTTTCTATTGTTCACTTTCTGATTACCACGTAATAACATTTGCTTTCTCAGTTCTTTATTTTCTCTTTCTAATCTTTCAAGTTCTCGTTGATATTTCATTTGAGTTTGCATCATTTCTTCTTGCATTGCATCCATTCTTTGTTTTGTAGATTCTGAATAGAATAGTTTTGACGTTTATTATTATTTTTTTAATTTATTAAGTATAAAAAAAAAAATTGCATTTTAATATTTTGTACGTACGGGCTTTCTTTCGTTCCTCTTCATAATCATTGGATAAAGGATGTGCAAAAGCCACTGTATTTTTTGTGATCTCATTCTTCGTATCTTTTGTCAAATATAATAAAGAAGTTATAATAAATATTCTTGTGATTAATTTTACTAAGTATTGGAATATAGTTTTTGTTGGATTGAAAATCAACATAAAATTTTTAAGGTCTGTCCCATTCAGTTTTCTAAATTGTGATGAAGCAGACGCCGATTATCAAAATTTAAAATAATCGTATAGGTAATTTAGAATCCTTTAAATTATAATACACAATATTGATCCATAAATAATAATAAAAAAAAAAAAAAATTACAAGAAATGCTGAATGGACAGACTATTTTTTCTGTTTTTGAATAAGATTCAATATTTTTCTTTAACTACACACCTGTGTATACTTGGTTTGCTACGGCTGAGATTGCTTCAAATACACCTGAATAGAACAGACCAAATCAAGATGTTAAAATTCAGTTTTAAGGAATAATTATTTGCAATCGTCACACACTTTGACCGAACTCTTATAAGATTTCTTATTCACAAGAATGTTAATTCAGAATAAATGTAAATTCAAATGCACAGATTTCAAGTATAAAATAGCAAAAAAAGTATCAGTGATAGTAGGACTACAAGTAAACGTAACATGAAAAAGGTAAAATGATTACTGAAAATGATAACTGTTAGCTGCTAATTTAATTTTAAAAAATTATCAGAAGCTTACTAACTTTGGGATGATATTTCATTTTCTTTTTCCAATTTATGAGTTTCAGCTGCTCTGATTGCATCTTCTAACCTTTGGTTAAACCACTCTCTATACTCTTTATATTTTGATTCACCATACTCCTTGATTCGAGGATCTTGATTATTTGAAATGAAGTATAAAGATTCATTATAAATGAACAACTTCTTACATTTTAATTTTCTTACCAATTTCAACTTTATCAGAAATTGCATTCCCAATAGACATCAAGGATCCTCGAAATTGTTGCCATTGTTGATCAGTAGGTATTAAATTGTTCACCCATTCCATATCAGGCAAACCATCTTTCCACTGTTCATATTTCTAATCAGAAGAAAGCATATGTTTTATGTGTTGAAGAGTTAATTATAACATGCAATAGAATAATTCTCTTTACTTTTTGTAAAGTAACTCCACCTCCAACAGCACCTCCCAACAAAAGATACCGTACTTTAAGGATTCCTCTCAATACTCTTCCAACAATCATAAAATAACCGCGATTTGGATTAAAGAAACAACGAGGTTGCGGTGATGCCAGTAATGGTCGATATATTTTATTTAATTTATTAGACATCAAACTTCTCGTGACGATCACAGATATTGGATGTCGAGAATTTTTTGATATAATCAGTATGTTATGACTGGAAAATAAAATTACCTCAGTTAAAATTAGGATAAAATAAATTGAGGTTGGAGTAAAAGGTTGGATTCTAATCACATTAATAACATAAATATAGTTATTTTAAATATGATAAATAAAATTCAATTTATAATAAATTATATACTTCAATAAAATATATTTGGATTAAGATTAATTTATTTTAATCTTACCCAAATCTACCGCATAAAACTTGCTCCATTTTCATGTATCACCTTCACCGATTACAAATATAGAGATTAAAATGAATTATTATAATAATATTATAGCACGCAATGTCATTCATGCAGTTTGTTAATCCATAATTGTAAAAATAATCTAAATAAATAATATCACCAATATCTTTATTCATTAATCCATTTTTTTTCTATTTTCCAAATGCAAGACGGCTAACCTCTAAAAAGTCAAATTTTAAAGCAGATATGTCGGACGTTGTCGCTAATATAAGCTTTGAATGGATACTCTACTTTATGTGTAAAATTTATTCTCTAAATTTAAGCTGTTAATTTTTTATGTAAAAAAAATATTTTATAAAAATGATAATAATTAATTTTTTTACTATGAAATTAATTAAAGTTAATTATCATGAATAATTTTATTGGTTATTTAATTTCCCATAAACCGTTGGATGCTGATAATATTTCAAATTTCGCACTATCAAAAACTGCAGTAGCGCCATTAATACTTGGTATGGCGGTAATTAATTAAAATATGTATAAATTAAAAATAAAAAGGATCTTTAATTTACCGCTAATTCATAAAATAAATAAGTCAACACATTAGCATATAATTTTAAAATATTATAAATAGTTTATTATACATATGTACAGGTTATAAAACTAGTTTACAGTCTAAATGGTATTGATATAAAAAATTATCTCTAAGTTTTGTCTATATATACATAGAATAGTTTTTAGTGGCTTTATACAAAATAAGGAGGCTTCTTCACAACTATTCCACGTTCTGCTACTGCTGAAGCAAGATCTTCCATCGTTAAGTTGTGTTCACGATCCTTTCCTTTGGATTTGGAACTTTGGTTTGCTCCTCGTGCTTTATAATGTTGCAAAGCATCGTTCGCAATATCTGCTATGAATTTCTGTGATGCTAGAGATATCAATCGAACTCTGAAACAAAAGGAACAAAAAAAATTTTAAAACTCAGTCATTTGATTAAATACATGAATACATAATTGTATATAATATAATTACATATTAATAATATTATTATAAAATATGTTTTATATTAATATAAAAATGAAAATAAGTATTTTGACTTACAATCGAGGATCTGGTGTATTTAATCCAGCAGTATGCATATAATACTCCGTCACGGCATCAGGAATCTGTAATTAAATAAATTATTGTTAGGAGAATTGACGAAATTGAAAAATTAAATTTTTGATATCTAGCTTAGTTTTTCAATTTTATATTGAGGTATTGATAATTTAAATTTATATATGGAAATAATTGTAAGAAAAATAGCGACGCCATAGAAACCGTAATCTCTCAAACATTTAAATAAAATTATTAAATGAATTATACTTACTGTAGGAGTATAATTTTCAAGTTGACGAAGAACTTCTGACAGAGGTTTGCCTGCTGCTTTAGGTCCTTCTTCTTGTGCTGAAGTTGCTGCTGAGTTTTGTTGATTCATATTTCCAGATGCCATATTACAATTATAAGTAACACTTGGTTGTGATTTAATTTTCACTACAATATAATATTGTACTTTGGAAACTTTTTATACAATTGAGTATAAATGTATAAAATTCACAATGTTTGAACAATTTTTAGCACGTACAAACGACAAGTGAACTGTAGCAGGTTTGAAGCTGGTGTGATTCAGATGCCGTATCCCACCATAGGGCTCCCCGCCGCCGATGTGTATCCCCTCCACCATGTTTTCCTCTGTGCGCAAGCGCCCGAGAGCTCATTGGGTAGTCCCAAGTCCCAAGCCAGTCCCATTTTCAAAGCGTCCCCACCTAAAAATATATTTTAGTTACTATTTTATACATTTTTTCGTTTTCATTTATGTACAATTTTAACTGCGATTTCTTATTACCAAGCACCTGCATTTTACTTTCCATGCATACTTCAAAAATGCCAAAACGGCTTATAAGGGTCAGGTTTTTTGGAGCATCATATACCTGCTACCTGCTGGTATCATAAAACTTTTTCTCATAGACAATTGAATTTAAATTGAGGATAGTTATGGGAATTTTCCATAATCCTATTATCGAGTTCTCGACTTCACCAAGATTTCCGTGCAAATTATCAGATAATAAAAATAATTTTTCACTTTAGATTACTTTTCTTTTGTACAGCAAATGTTGATGGATATTCTATATGTTTCAGCAAGAATTATCTTTGAATATTTATGATTGGTAATTTTTCATTAAATAAAATAAATGTATAGGAAAAAAAATTAAAATTTAGTTTTAGAACAATTTTAATGGTTTTAATTTCTCATAAAATGTTCACTTTTAATGTTACTTTAAATTTCGTTCTTTAAAACACAGCAGTAGCGCTTCCAACGACAGTCTAGAAAGATTCAACACAGAGAAAGTTTTGTTGTGTGAGCCATTGTCATTGTGTTACTACGTGATATTGACGTATTAATAGGTTATAGTTGTTTATTTACTAAAAAAATATCGTAAATATTATTTATTTATATTGTTCTAACAATTAAATCATTATACAGATTTACTTGAACCCATATTATGGCATCTGAAAATATGGATCAACAAAATTCATCAGCAATTTCATCAAAAGACGATGACCCTAAAACAGCAGGCCAACCTCTGTCAGATTTTCTTCATCAACTTGAAGATTATACTCCTACAGTAAGTTATAATTAATTAAAAACTTTTGATTAAATGTCTATAAGGATTATTTTGGTATTACAATAACAATTTATTCAATTACAGATCCCTGATGCAATAACAGAGTATTATCTACATACTGCTGGATTTAATACAACAGATCCTAGAATGTGAGTAGAAATTTCACTTTTTTATTGTTTATTCAATTAAATGACTGAATGGCTGATATTTTTTAAATCTCTTAATTCCAGAGTTCGATTAATATCTCTAGCATCACAGAAATTCATATCAGAAATAGCAAATGATGCTTTGCAACATTGTAAAACACGAGGATCAAACCAGAATACTAAATCTAAAGGAAAAGATCGTCGATATACATTAACAATGGAAGATTTAACACCAGCAGTAGCGGAATATGGAATAGTTGTAAAAAAACCTCATTATTTTGTTTAATAAAATTTAAATTGAATTATTGTGTGTGTTTAAAACTCAGTAATTAATTTTAAAAAACTCTTTATATTATTAATATGACTTTGATTGGAAATTTGCTGTTTTATTTGTACAAATGTATAATATAATTAATGAAAATTATTTGTTTATATTTTTATTTATCAACGGAATATTTATCCATAAAAAAAATACATAATTTTTATAGTTTATAGCCGTCCCACGTCAAAAAAGGGCGCTTATATCTGTTAAAAAGTATTGTAAACACATACATATACTATATATACTTTTATAAATGTCAGTTGACAATTGGCGGGTTCAAAAAAGTCGTTGTGTAATGTTTACATCAAAAACTTCGTTATTTTTATTTTATTTATAAATGTGTTGTGTAAAATTTTATTATACAACGCGACGTGAGAAATATTTTTTTTTTGAGAGAACTTTTTAATAAAGCTCCAATTTTGGAGTAGGGTATTCTCGGAATGCCACCGGTGTCCAGTGGATTCGGCAAGCATATCGAGGTTAGAATTTTAAATCATGCATTTAAATGTGTTTTTATCCTGAAGATTTATGTTTATTTTCCTATTTTTAGGAGTATAAAGTGCTCAATTTTCTTGGAAAAGGTGGTTTCGCAGTAGTTTATAGAGCAAAATGTCTTCGTACAAATACCGAAGTAGCTATCAAAATGGTTAGTAAAGATTAATAACTCCAATCTCTATATAGCACTTGTTGCTTTTAAATTGGCTATGAAATTTTCAAGTGTTACAATTTTTGATAACAAAATCAATTTTTTTTTAGATCGACAAAAAATTAATGGAAGCAAGTGGGATGGTTGGAAGAGTAAATCAAGAAGTTGCAATACATTCACGATTAAAACATCCAGCTATATTAGAACTCTATACATGCTTCCAGGATACTCATTACGTTTATTTAGTATTAGAATTATGTCACAATGGTGAATTACAACATTATTTGAAAACACATTATCCTAAAGGGCTCCCTGAAAACCGAGGTTAGAAAATTTAATTATAAGATTCATATATATTTAAATAATATTTATTATTTTTTATTTAATTAATACATTTCTTCCAGCTGCAAAATTCATTAAACAAGTTGTACAAGGTTTACTTTATCTACATTCTCATCAAATACTTCACAGAGATTTGTCTTTGTCAAATTTATTACTCACAAGTGATCTACATGTGGTATGTAAAATATTTATGTAATTGTTAACTAATCAATAATTAACTTATTATTAATATTGAAACCTAATAAATATGTTTTTCAATAGAAAATTGCTGATTTTGGATTAGCAACACAATTATCAAATCCAAATGAAAAACACATGACTATGTGTGGAACTCCAAATTATATTTCGCCAGAAGTAAGTTATTGAATATCTTTATAATTAAATTGTAGATTGTCTTTTATTTCATACTCATGATAAAATCATTATTTAGGTTGCTACAAGATCATCTCACGGTCTCGAAGCTGATGTATGGGGTTTAGGATGTATGTTATATACCCTTTTAGTTGGGAAACCACCATTCGATACTGATGCAGTAAAAAGTACTTTAACTCGAGTTGTTATGGCAGATTATATAATACCTAAATATCTGTCTGATAATGCAAAAGATCTTATTGAACGTTTATTAAGAAAAAATCCAAAAGAAAGGATAAAATTACGTGACATTATTAAACATCCATTCATAACATCTATTGACCAACAGAATTTTCAGGTAAATTATTAAAAATTAATGTTAAAATAATTTCAAGTAATAACATTTAAACTAATGAATTTATTTATTTTTCTTATTTCATTAGGAAAAAACGCTATCTAATAAAGTAACATTTAAAGATTCAGGATTGGTAGATTCAGGATTAGGTAGAACGTTATCATCCTTGGGTCAAACACATCGACGAGGTCGTTCTCGTTCAGAAGAACGTACTAGTTGTATATCATCACATTTATTAACTCCAGCAACACCTTATTATACAACAAGGAGTGATCCAGCAGAATTAATTTATAGCATCAAGGAACATGATAATCTAGGTCATGAACGTTTAAGAAATACAAATTTTTCTCATGGAAAAAAATCTATTTCGTCGAACATTCTTCATCCTCCACCTGCTCAAATGATCTCTAAATCATCTCAACATCATAATGGTGATGTTGATCATGAAAAAAATGTAAATAATGTAGATCACCAGAAAAGTGATAAACCAAAATGTCGAGAACAAAGTGGCAAAAGTCATAATTATTTAAATGGTACGGAAGCTAATACCAAATTACAAGTTCCACCTTTAAATACTAAAAGGCTTTTACCGATACGACATAAAGCAAAAAGTGTTGTCTTTACCATTTTAGAGAATGGTGAAGTATGTATAGAATTTACAAAGAAAAAAAATATTACGGTAAGTAATGATAGTTTTATTTGTATTGATTCAATGTATATCAACATAATGTATTTATTATTAAACAGGAAAGAGTTAGTGAAGTATGCCGAATATCAGGAGATGGACTTCGCATAATTTTATATAAATTACGTGAAATGAAACCAATTGGTGATACACCACCGCCGGTTCCTTCTAGTGGCGCTGATAATATTTATTCCTATGAAAGTTTACCTACCCGTCATCATCGAAAATATCTTTATGCTGCACGATTTATCAATCTTATTAAAGCGAAAACACCTAAACTAAGTTTGTACACTGGACGAGCGAAGTGTAATTTCATGGAAAATGGTCCGCATCCAGATTGTGAAGTACTTTTTTACGATGGAACAAAAGTTAATCGAGTAGATAGTGTCGTAAAAATTACTAACACAGTTGGAGATACTTATGAAGATAAAGATTTACCAAAAGATTTAGAAGAATATTATGAACATTACGAAGAATGTTATCAACGTTGTCTTTTACTTGAATCCGCCTTATCTTCTTTAGAAACTGCGACAGGACATTCTTCCTTTCCTGTAATCATTGGACGACGGCCTTTAGCAGCCTTGAATAATAGTGCTCCTTCTCAGGGAAAAGAAAATATGTCTCGGGTCACTGCATATAGTCCACCAATGGTAAGTAATAAATATACTTTTTACTTCTTTTACCATTTTATTTTTTCTAATGTATTATAAATTCATGTTACAGATGCCATCATTTGATGCTACATGTTCTGTTGTATCAGGAATGACTACAAGATCAAAAAAGACTTCTCTTCGTTCAATGCCTAATACTTATACTAATAAGATAAATATTCCTGGTTTAGGAGTAACAACTCAATTACCATCTGGAGAAGTTAAAGTAGAATTCAAAGATGGTACTGCTTTGATCATGAGTCCGCAAAATTATAGCAGTGGAATACAATATGTAAATCAGTATGGTATGATCACTAAATATTCTACAAATCATCATCAAAATACTCAAGTGCCGTATGATGTTAGAGAAAAATTAAAATATGTGCCAACAGTTTTAAAATATTTAGTACAATCTCAACATGAAAGTATACGATAATTCATTTTAATTTGCTAGACATAAAAAATTTTCCTTACGGTATAATATTTGAAAATTTCTAGTAAATTCTAATAGTAATTAAAAAAATAAATTTGCAAAATTCTAGTTGTAAGAGCATTCAAATATTATATTTTAATAGTAGCACTAGTAAATACATTTATTATTTGTAAAATTGACAATTATATCATTTTTTAAATCATTTTAAATAAAATATATTAGATAAAATATATGAATAAATTGGAACTGTTTGTTTTATCCTATTGTTAACATTTTTCTCTCACTGTATGTGTATATATGTATATATGTATATTTATACACATAAGTGGCCTTAACTCTACTACATATGAGCGTAAAAAAAAAAACAATACATATGTACTATCATCAAGATAGAGTGTCTGAGTAAAATAAAACTTTGAGTTCTCCTCAGAATAATTGTATAAAAAAATGTTAGATAATTATTATGCTCGTTAATTCACTGACAAAGAAATGCATGAATGAATTTTAAAAAAAGAGAAAAATAAAACTTATTAAATATATTACGAAAAATAATAAGAAATCTTTGAGTAATTACCATTCTTTATATCTGGAAAAACAATTAAAAAATTACAGTGAATTACTGATACTTATTTTTTGGAAGTTCATAATATTATTTTGTTTAGGGTTAACATTTTCTTACCTCATAATATGTAAAGGGTGTTTAACACAAGGACATGATGATTATTTTTGGCCAATGTTATTATGTAGCCTTCGGAAGTTATTTTAAGGCCGCAGCATCGTGATACCTATAATAATATTACAATAAATATCTATTATCAAATCCTTAGCAGCAAAAATCAAATTAGCAGATGCATAAATTTTTTTTTATATGCTAAAAATAATTTTACCTTTACATGAGGACATTCAAATTCAGATAATAAAGTACCCTCTGGTGAATATACAGATACATGGAAACGATTGCCGTGAGAATCGCCTATCAGCACATCTCCAGCATTACTAATGTCAATCCCGTTCGGAAAATTCGTTCTGTTTTCACAGCCGATACGACGCAAGAATTGACCTTCTTCATTAAATACCACAACACAATGTCCTTTGAAGTCACAAACATAAAACTCTGTATCTGAAATTTAAGTAGAAATAATTTACTAATATTTGTAGTTTATTAAAAAGTTTGATGTGGTTCAACAAGTAAATTTTGTCAAGAAGTTAACTAACCACTTATAGCAATATCACTTGGTTCTCTCATATAATCACCGCAATCAAACCACTTAAGGAGACTACCATTTTCGCTAATAATGAATACAGTAGGTGAGACACTGTCAACAGCCACAATATGTCCTTGACTAGTGACAGCAAGACCTGCCACGATGTCAATATATCGAATAGCTATTTTTTTAATAAAATGTCCATTCTTTGTAAATAGTTGCATTCTAGACCGTTCATTTCCACGGTCACAAATCACGAATTTTCCACAATTTTTTATTACTGCAACTTTTCTTGGATACCACAGTTGGCCTTCTTCCTTACCCGGATATCCAAACATTGATTTGAATTCGCCTGATTTATCAAATATCTAAAGCAAAGTTTAATAATTGCAAAAATTTTTTATAACAATTTCAATATTTTATAAATAAATTACTTGAATTCTATGATTGTTTGTATCTGCGACAATGATATCTTCATCAGTACCAAGACAAAATCCATGAGGTGAATTGAATTGGCCTTTTCCAGATCCAAGCTGACCAAACTTTGATCGAATTTCCATCGATATGGGTTTATTGTCAGAAGAACGTGGATGATTATAATTACTAGCTTCACTGCCAGGGACTTTAGCAACATTATTAGTAACTATTCTTTCCATTATGTGCATTGATTCTCTTTTATGGTCATCTGAAATTTTATGCTTTTATTCAATGTATTTTTTTCTATAAATGCATTTATGCATATGAAGAAATTTCATACTTTGCTTTGGTAAAGATTGAAAGCCTCCATTGACCGGTGTGTTTATACTTAAAGATCCTAAATTAGGTCGGTCATTTATTACGGGTGATGAAGCACGTCTTAAGACCAGATTTTCTCCACCATTAGACGTTGGAATTTCTGAATTTTAAATAATTAAACTTGGTTTTGAATGTATCGACAATTAAGAAGATATATTATAATTAAGAAGCAAACAACCACCTTGATTGATCAGTGAATTATTCCGAAAAGCTTGTAGGGTATGAAAATTATTCATGATATAGGCGGGACAATTAATCGAAAATTCACCTGAGTGTAAATCGGGCATTGCAAAGGATGTATTTGAACTTGGGTTTGAGCCTGCTTCAACTACAATTGAATCATTGAGATCCACTTTATCTGTAAAACCTGCTAATTGTTGTAAACCGTGCATTGGATCTAGAGGAAAAGGAGCACGTGATATTGATGGACGAACATTTCTTGGATTTAATTTAGGAAGTATAATGAAGGGATCACCTTCAAAAGAAGATGCAGTTGTGGACATAGATGAATCAGAGGAATTAGGACAAGGCATCGGCAATGTTTGTTGACTAGTTACAGCTGTCGTTGTTATAGTTTCCGATGATGTCATAACACTCGGTTCACTTTCAGATTTGAATTTGCCAAAACATTCGTTTATAACGCTATTAAAATGACTGCGGTCTGTTTGAAATTCAATCGAAGGTCTGATCTTCGGTTTTGGAGTATTATTGATTAAATTAATCAATTGAGTTGATACTAATCTTTTCAGAGCTAAAATTTCTGTTGTGTCACCATGCTTGAGTAGTCTTGAAGTAAAACGATTTGCATCTTCAATTTTTCCTTTGATTTTACCCAGACTAATGAAGAATCATCAATTAATATTACGATAGAAATATAAAACTTTAAATTGACTTTTATTACAATAATATACTTACATATTAAAAGTATTCATTATTTGAAATTCTCTTTCAGAACGTAGTTTTTCTAGATGTCTCAAAGCATTATCTCGACAATTCTCCAAAATAGTTTCATAATTTTGAAAAGTTTCTATTATGAGACTTTTTGCATGGTCGTGTTGGGATTGCAATTCACATAATGTATTCTCAAGCTGTAGAGATACTTTCTCACATTCAGAAATTTTAGATTTACTTTCGGTCATCAAGCTAAATAATTCATTTATTTGGCAACTTTCAGCAACAGAGAGTCTTTCATATTGATGTTCTGGTGCTTTATGTTCTACTAATAGACATTCATTACAAATGAGTTCCTATTGAAAAAAATAAAAAATCATAAAGCCTCGCGTCATTTGTTAATTAATGTAAAAACGTTACCTCTACTTACTTGACATGTATAACAATAGAACTTCATGTTTTCAGCAGGATGAAGTTCACAAAAAATAGGCTTATGAATAGGTACAATTTTGTTCGATTGTTTGAGATCCTCAAATGCTATAACTTTGTGGTTCTCAAAACATCGCATATATTGATGAGCAGTATTACAGTTGGGACACAAAAAATGAGCACAATCAGAGCAACGTGCTACTGCACTTTCTTGATTCTTGCAAGACGTGCATATAACAGTCATGTTTTCTATTGCTGACATGTCTAAGATATTAGTGAGAACATAATCACAAGGTAGAGATGCAGCTCCTTTAGGTCCTACAATTGTTTGTTGACCACATTCTGAACAAATGATTATTGAATCTCCTGTTGGATTGTTCATGTCATTAATCAGCTGCCTATCCAAACAGGATTCACAAAAAACATGTAAACAGGAGAGTAATCTGGGTGAACATAACTTCCTCTTACATAGAGCACATTCTTCATCTTTAATATTGCCATGATCTTCATGAATTTCTTCAAGTAGATCACCGGCATTGCTAGAGACAACTCCGTCAGCTCTATCATTACTCTCAATATTCAAATCACCCATAAAATTACCACCATTAATTTCTTCACCTTCTTGCATGGTCGCCACAGAAGTTGAAGCCGTTGCTGATCTCCACGATGCCATTTGTTACGTTGTGTATATCGTATTATTCAAATGTAATTCAAAAATTCAACAACTTGTCCTTGGGCATCAAATAACACTAAACTTTACCCAAAACAAATCTTATCTTCAACTTTAAATTCTCACCACACTCTTCACTATCTAAATTTTCTTTACTTTCAATACTTTAATCGAGTTTGCTTCACTGTTTTACGATTCATGTAATGCATAAGATTATTGCGATTTTTCGATGTGATTCCTAATACGCCATGATAGATACGAAAAAGACAAAACACTTCTTCGTACACAGCACGACCGCAGTAGTCGGAAGATGTGATTGACGTGAACGATGCCACGATATTTGTTACGATTAATTAAAATTTGTATTCAATAATAAGAACATATTAAAAATTACTTCGAGATTGTTGTTTTAATAATTATTTAAAAGTGTATAAATACAAGCATCGTATGCCATCCATGGCGAAATTTAAAAAAAACGTTTTCAACCGGTATTATTATGGTTTTTTCAAATAAATAATGTATTTAAATGATATTAATATTGTATATAAATGGCATAATACAGCCCAAAAGAATCCATATTAATTTGGTAGTCATCTGATTTTAAAATATAAGCTACAAATTATGTTTACCATATTATGACAAATAATTTTAATTAGATCAAAATGGAGGAACTAAATTGTTGATTTTGGGATACGATTTTTAAAATAGCATGAACGTAAAAGGATTTTTTTCTACTTTCATAGAAGCTGTAGTAGACCACTGGATGTTATTCAAGGATATAACATGTAAACATCCTGGCTGTATCGACGATGCAACAATGTTGCTCGGATCATGTTTATGATCAATGTTTCTTAGAATAAATAGAGAAATTGACAGCATGACAAATTAGTGTAGTAGAAATATTTTTTAATTTATACAAGCAACTTCTACATGAGCAAGATTTATTTTTGAACAACCTTTCGGTTGTTTCACACAAAGATGGAAAACCATAAAGAACAATGAATTGAGATTTTTTTTTACATAAAAAGAATAATTGTAGGCATAGCCAACTTGAATGTCACAAAATTAAATTTTTCTGTTTTCAAAATTTGCAATAGTTCGTGATTAATTAGTTAAGCGAATTAATTGTTAATTAAAAGTCTATGGATAACTAAGATTACTCAAAAATTGTTTGCAATAAAATTGTTCATTAAATAACTCGTTAACTAATTAATTACAAACAAAAGTGTCAAATGCAATTGTTATTCATGAAAATAAAATCCAATTTTGCGAAATTTATGTTGGCTATTTGTATCAATGTATTTTGATTCATAATTGTATGATAATATCAATTTTGTTGATAAAAACTGCATTATCAATGGTTGTAATAATCACTGCCTATGAAAAAAAAAATTATTTTTAGAAAAGGTGCACATTCGAGAATTTTTCGAATTTTATTTTGTATTACTTGTTCGTAATTTTGATTTCTCGACATTATGCCCTATTTGAGACAATTACTACTCAAAATTATGTTTTATTTGGGATAAAGAAATTTTAACCTCTTATATACGTCTCGTAAGGTTACTGAGTATAGATATACATATACATACACATACATACATGTAAATAAAGTACACACTTGCAGTTGAAGATAAATGTGTGCGTGTTACAATCTAACCTTTAGGTTAGACATTGTTGCTCTATGTATATGTGAATTTATAATACAAGTGTGTAATATACAAACATCACCCGTTATAATTTAGTCGCCATTTTGAATTCATTCATCAGTTTGGAGTCCAATGACTTCTAAATAATAGAATTATTTAGAAGACATAGTATTACATGCGTTTAAAAATACTATATCATTTTGTTTTTATTTTTATAATTTAAAATATTTTGATACATTAGAAAATTTTATGGTTTATTCAGTGTTATTTATACTTACAAATATACAATTACATATGGTGTGGGAAAATATAATTTCTCAATAAGGCAAACAATTGAATCGTGACATTTTGTATGATTCATATTTCTAACAATTAATTAAAACATTATTATCAAAGCAGTTGATAGTTTTTGAAGTGTTTAAATATTTTTGAGATTGTTGGATTGCAACAATCACAACTACAATTGTAAACAAAAAGTACAAAGTTGTGCTTATGTACACATATTTTTCTAGATGACTATTAAGTAAATTATTACACAAGTTTCAACAATCATTTAAAAATGGGTGAGTCTTCAATATTGTTACAAATACTTACGTATAATGTTTTCATACAAATTCGTGTTAACCATTCGTATGATTTTTTATACTTGTAAATATTTAATTGTATCGAGTTATCTAATCTTATCGGGTGGAGCTGATGAGAATTATTAGTCATAAGTCTAGTCATCAAGCCTCCATTACCTATATGATAGGTGATTAAGTTTCTTGAAAGAAGATTGTAAAATTGATTAATATCTTAAAGAATTAAATTATTAATTATGGAGGCACAAACAGTGGTAGTTTCTTTAAAGAGAAAATTTCTTAGCAATAATAGTTTAGATAGATATTCTGAATATAGTCTTCATGATCCGGATGAATATTGGAATAGCAAATCACCTGGTATGTTTTTTCAAAATAGTATTCAAGGAGCCAAGTGAATAATGATTGCTATAACTAAGGATACAATATTTAAATATATTCTGTACTGTTAAAAATAAATAATATCCAATAATATTTTATTATTTGTATTACAGGAAGTACGTGTAATGATTGTATGGCTAGAGTGCCTTATGCAACCCTAATAGCAACAATTATGTGTTGTTTGGGTGTTGGAGTATTTTGTGGTACCATGTATCGAGGTTCTACTCTTACTAAATTAATGATGCTCCATGTAATATATCAAAAATATTATTTTTAATAACTAAAACAACAAATGTCAAAAGAATAATAATATTATATGTTATTGTTTGAATTTTTTGAAGGTCTTTCACGTGAGACTCGATTGGCTGGAAGCTGTAACTTATATTTTTGCCATAATTGGTGCATGTATGGCTGCATTAGGATTCATGATCCTATGCGTTGGATGTTTAGCAACTGGAGCAACTAGACACAAAGTTTATCGTGCTTGGCGATCCCGTGTTGGTGGTCGAATTTCTTGTGCTGTGGTATATTACATTGAATACGTTTTTTTTGTTAATATTTATTTTCATTTAAGTAATTTAAACACAACTTTTTTTCAGTTTATGACCATTACCTACATTCTTCAGATAGTTTGGATGCTAATTTTTGCATTCTTAGTTATCGTAACATTACTGTTTACAATATTTTGGGGATTGTGCAGTGACCCTCGTGCTCAACAAAATGGCATAGATTTTACACAATTAAGTAAGTAATTAGAGATTATTACATTTTGAAATACATACGAACTTATTGTAATATAAAAAGTAATTTTTTATTTTCATTTATTCAGGATTCGTATTTCTTGATGCCATAAGTCCGGATCATATTCGCATAAAAGACAATTACGTAAAACAATTTTGTAAAGATTATGTAGAAAAAGCTGAAGTGATGTTCATTTTAGCCACTGCCGCTGCTATGTTGGTGATTTTTAGCCTTATACATTATTTGATGTGTCTATCAGCAAATTATGCACATATTCGAGATCATGAAAAATTCCAAGAGCTTCAAGAACTTCAATACTTACAAGATCCTGGTGATGGTGATTCACCTCAACATGGTATGGGAACTCTGAGTTCTCATCATCGTAGTAAAGACCGATTTTAGGATACAGCCCGCGAGATCTTTGCTTTAAGTCCAACATAAATGTTCAAAAATTTGTGCAAAAACCGTATTGAGATATACGAAATAATTTTTATATATTTTATACTGAAATAAACGCATTATTGTTCGATAAGTATTTCAATCCAACGAAAGAAAAGATAAAATATTGTAATAATAATTTTTCTAACTGTATTAGCAAAGATCTTGCGGGAACTAAATGCCGTCCATTGCATGCAATTTTTATCAGTATAATGAATAGTCTAGCCACAAATTTTTATGCAATTCTGAGAGCATTTAATAACATATCTTCCAATAATAATTTTTATTCCTAGTACTATCAATATTATTACCGTTAATCTTGATTAATTATGAATGACTATTTTCATTTATTTTATATCGAACTTTAATATTTGAAATTCATTCCATATTGATGAAATAATCATAATGCATTTATCTTGTTACGCTCACTAATACATATCTTTTTATTAAACTATTTATTATGTTTTTTTTTTTTTTTACTAATATTTTAATTTTTTATTTTTCTATTATAACATTTAACAACAGCAATAAATTTAATTCTTATATTATCTGCAGGTTTATTTAATAACATTTTTTTAGTAATTTTCATTACTAAATAAATTACATTTTATATTCTGATATGATGTTTATCAAATGAATATCTATAAATATATTACTTTTAAAAATTCGTATTTGATGCGGTATTTTTAATTTTTCTTATTTACAATTATATACATGAATATTCATTTGTAAAATGATATAATATCATATATACAATATTGTACAAATTAATTCTAAAATAGTAAAAGAAATTATTTTTCATTTATAGTACTGAGTTAAAATTATAATAAAGAAAACAAACATTATAAAAGTATCACTTATGTTTTCGTAAGACTGAAATTTCATCTATCTCTATAAACAAATTGTGTTCAAAGTGTTTAATTCATGAAATGTTTGTTATAAAAAATGTTTTATAACTAACAATTTAATAATCTGTATGTAAAATTGAAAAATAACTTTTAATTTTGACATTTGAAATGTATTATTACACTACATATCAGTCGTCATCATATTGTAGATCTAATTCTAAATCTAATATGTTTATTTCTTGAAGTGTATTAATAAATGTATATCTAGAAAATATCATATATAGCTTTCGAAACCATACATATTGAGATTTATGCGCCTTCATTGCACTCTAAAAATAATTATATAATTTTATAAAACTAAATAATAAAGATCATATTTTTTCACATATTAATTCAACGTCTTTCTCATCTTCATACTCACACGTATAATTTCACGTTGCTCATAAGTGACTAAATACCAATAAGATGATGTTAATAAGCTAATTGGTAAATCTAATAGTTGGCTATATTTTCTTAAAATATTTACTGATTCAAGACTGTACAGTTTACAATCTAAAATTAATTGAAATTAATTATCAACAATATCTAGAATTGTATTGGTGTTATTATAGATAAGAGTTAGTTTATATTGAATAAATAAAACTTACATGAAGGTATTTTTTTCTCTACACATAAAGCAGCAACACCATAATATAGTGATATATGATTACTGTGATGGCTAACACCATGTTTATCAAAGGTAACAACTGCATTTATTTTAAATGCTTCTATATAATGAAGAATTTGATCAGCGATTATTTCGCTGGGCCATTGTACTTTAGGGTCATCAGGTAGCTCTGAGTTCCTAATAAAATTTCATCAGTCATAAATTATTTTAAACAAATTATTAAAACTTTAACAAATAATAATTAAAATACTATTTTCGTTTATCTTTTAATGTCAACTTTCTTCTCACATTAGAATTGTTATGTTGGCTTCTGGTATTCCTATGATTTTTGCTGCAGCCCATAGTTCTCGTTTCCTTTTCTTATGTCCACCTATAAACACACTTACATATATTGATAGACTCATTATTTATTATATTAATGATGATATGAATTTTTAATCTACTATACAGAGGTCTAATAATTTAATGTTCAAGTACCAGTAGAAAAACATAACAAATAAATGCTGCTATTATTAGACTTGGTTAACCAATAAATCATTGGACCAAAAAACATGACTTCATCATCAGGATGAGCCGTAACAAGAAGTAGTCTTGATGGTGGTCCTGGTAATTGCCAAGCCTTATGATCAACTCTTTTAAGTATAAGGTAGAGAAAGATGCAAAGAAGTAAGTATGCAATGGGTGCGACAATTAGCTGCCAAGATAACTCCGCTACATACCACCACAGCCATGTTTTAATTTGATCTAATTGTTTACTTATTAAATTTACATTCCATTGAACATTCACCATTTCTCTTTTTTACTACGCGTAAACATAGCAATAATTTATTTTTAAATGATTACTAATAAAAGAATAATTAACCGAATGCTCACTACTTAACTAGTTATATGTGTTTGAAGTTAATTTTTTTTTATTGGCACAAAATGGAGCCAAGAGATGGCTTTGGCGTCTACTTCTTCATTCAATCAGTTCAAAGTTCAAACAGAAGGAAGGGACTTTTATCGTTGGATATTTTAATATGGTAAACCTTTTGGTGTTTCATATCAACCTATTGCACCCACGGCATCCCTAGAATAGTCCCTCTCCTACTAGAGTTCTTGACTGCGCTTGTACAAATATAAAAATTTGAGAAAAACAAAGCTGCACATTACTGCAATGAGCATGGTGATAAAAAATACTGATTCTGATGTTGACATCTTCCGTGATACCCCTGTAAGATATTTAGGTATATTTATAAATCACAATAATTCATTTAGATGCAAATACTGTAAAAATTATTAAATGTCTTGTTTTACAGGTTATACTAATGAGGTTGGAGAGGCATTTAGAAGCATCGTTCCTAAATCTGTTGTATGGATAAGTTATATAATAGCTAGTAGCTATGTCGTTGCTGATGCCATTCATAAGGGTAAAAAAGAATACACTGTAAGTTTGAATTATTAATAATATATAGTATACTGATTTAATGAGAATTTAAACATTTACAGAAGATTGGTGATGAAAATAAGAATAAACGTGTTTTTCTTTCAACTTCTGACACTTTAATATGGCAAAGTTTTGCATCAGTTATTATTCCTGGTTTGGTAATCAACCGGATTTGTGCAAGTGTCAATTTTCTTCGGAAACAAGTACCACATGGTGCCATGAGAAGTCCATGGATTTCGACAGTGATTGGACTTGCTTCTATCCCTTTAATTATTCATCCAATAGATAGTGGGGTTGATAATGTTATGGATAAAACTTATAGACAATGGACTGGTTATCATCCGAATAAACAAGATATAGACAAGTAGTTGAATTATTAAAACAAGTGCTTGAAAATCTATTGACAAGTGTAGATAATTGTAAATAGTAACATTGATTCCCATGTTGAAAGTATTTGAACATAAACGGTATTTCACTCAAGTATTATATTCAATAAAATTTGATACATAAATACATTATTATAAGCTTGTTGAAGATAAATTTTGTAATTTATCTAAACGCTGACATATCCGTCTTTCAAATTTAAGGCTGGGCTGAAGTCAGGAGTCTCCCTAAGTTGACTTTACGCCGTCATGTTATGCGGTAGAAGGTCAAAGCTCGATGTCAACTGAAATTGAGTGGGTAACAGGGAAATCGTTCAAAGAATAATAATTTTCAGGAATGCACCAAAAAAAAAGAGCATTCAGGCATCAACAAATTGACGAATTGTTGAATCATTAGTTTCAAGCAAGACAGAGCAAAAAATATACCCATCCATCTCCATCTAAATGACCAGAGATAAAACTATGAATTCAAGCGATAGCGAGCAAGTTTAAACCACACGCTCTGTATTTAAGTAAATTATTATATAATAATTTAATGTCAACAGCATGATAAGAATATGGTGGCTCCGTAGCCGAATCCGATTTTCTTCTTAGGTTCAGATCTTTCATATGAGCCCTCGATTTTGACCTGATACTACATTTCAAAACGTCGATACAAGAAGTTAAACAGTGTGCTTGGAGGAAATTTTTTTTTCAACCCCTTTCTATTTTTTTTCCTGCAAAATAGAAATGGTCTGATGTTGATGACACTCTATGTATTCGACCGTTTTTGAGTTAGGGAATGTGGTATCGGATCAAAAATACAAAAGATCCATTCCGTAACTTTAGAAGGAAAGTGAAACCGGAAATGGCTATAATTCTAGCATTAATTATGCTCGGATCATAATTTTGACTAGTGCATTGGAAAGCTCTTGCTCTCAGGAATCTACTGATGTGCTTGTAGACCATGTACCTCGTTTAGATCGTGAGTTATCGGCGAAAAACAAAGCTATGCTGCAATAAAACATAAAAAAACGTTTAAACGCTCATAACTCGAAAACTAAGCGAGATACGGCGTTTTTGACGGGGATATCCTATAGGGGGGATCAAATTTTCTACTTAGGTCCAGATCTTTCATATGAGCCCTCAATCAACCCCGTAGCATCATTGGCATAGAGGTTATGCACATTTTTATGTTTTGCGGTTTTTCAGAAATATCTCTTGATTTTACCGGCCAAATATAATCAACAGCCAGTGTTTGGGAACCGTCTCGTCCCCCTCTCCCCAATGACATACTTAATTTTATGATTCAAGCATAAAAACGATTTTTTGCTTTTTTTGAGGTTAGAAACAAGAAATTCTCGAATTTTGATGATTGGAGGATATTCCGTACGTTTTGGTGCTCTGAAATTTGACCGCAAATATCAATTCATTTCAAAACTCGTAGGAACGGAGATGAAGTTGAAACCGGAAATGGCCATAATTCTGGCATAAATTATGTTCGGATTATAATTTTGACTCGTGCATTAGAAAGCTCTTGCTCTCAGGAATCTATTGATATGCTTGTAGTCCATGTACCTCCTTTAGATCGTAAGTTATCGGCGAAAATCGAAGCTATGCTGCAATAAAACATAAAAAAACGTTTAAACGCTCATAACTCGAAAACTAAGCGAGATACGGCATTTTTGACGGGGATATCCTATAGGGGGGATCAAATTTTCTACTCAGGTCCAGATCTTTCATATGAGTCCTCAATCAACCCCGTAGCATCATTGGCATAGAGGTTATGCACATTTTTATGTTTTGCGGTTTTTCAGAAATATCTCTTGATTTTACCGGCCAAATATAATCAACAGCCAGTGTTTGGAAACCGTCTCGTCCCCCTCTCCCCAATGACATACTTAATTTTATGATTCAAGCATAAAAACGGTTTTTTCCATTTTTTAGGTTAGAAAAAGAAATTCTCGAAACTTTGATGATTGGAGGATATTCCGTACGTTTTGGTGCTCTGAAATTTGACCGCAAATATCAATTCATTTCAAAACTCGTAGGAACGGAGATGAAGTTGAAACCGGAAATGGCCATAATTCTGGCATAAATTATGTTCGGATTATAATTTTGACTCGTGCATTAGAAAGCTCTTGCTCTCAGGAATCTATTGATATGCTTGTAGTCCATGTACCTCCTTTAGATCGTAAGTTATCGGCGAAAAACGAAGCTATGCTGCAATAAAACATAAAAAAACGTTTAAACGCTCATAACTCGAAAACTAAGCGAGATACGGCATTTTTGACGGGGATATCCTATAGGGGGGATCAAATTTTCTACTCAGGTCCAGATCTTTCATATGAGTCCTCAATCAACCCCGTAGCATCATTGGCATAGAGGTTATGCACATTTTTATGTTTTGCGGTTTTTCAGAAATATCTCTTGATTTTACCGGCCAAATATAATCAACAGCCAGTGTTTGGAAACCGTCTCGTCCCCCTCTCCCCAATGACATACTTAATTTTATGATTCAAGCATAATTACGATTTTTTGCATTTTTTGAGGTTAGAAAAGAGAATTCTCTGATTTTGATGGTTGGAGGACATTCCGTACGTTTCGGTGCTCTGAAATTTGACCGCAAATATCAATTCATTTCAAAACTCGTAGGAACGGAGATGAAGTTGAAACCGGAAATGGCTATAATTTTAGCATTAATTATGCTCGGATCATAATTTTGACTCGTGCATTAGAAAGCTCTTGCTCTCAGGAATCTATTGATATGCTTGTAGTCCATGTACCTCCTTTAGATCGTGAGTTATCGGCGAAAAACGAAGCTATGCTGCAATAAAACATAAAAAAACGTTTAAACGCTCATAACTCGAAAACTAAGCGAGATACGGCATTTTTGACGGGGATATCCTATAGGGGGGATCAAATTTTCTACTCAGGTCCAGATCTTTCATATGAGTCCTCAATCAACCCCGTAGCATCATTGGCATAGAGGTTATGCACATTTTTATGTTTTGCGGTTTTTCAGAAATATCTCTTGATTTTACCGGCCAAATATAATCAACAGCCAGTGTTTGGAAACCGTCTCGTCCCCCTCTCCCCAATGACATACTTAATTTTATGATTCAAGCATAAAAACGGTTTTTTTGCTTTTTTTGAGGTTAGAAACAGAAAATTCTCGAAACTTTGATGATTGGAGGATATTCCGTACGTTTTGGTGCTCTGAAATTTGACCGCAAATATCAATTCATTTCAAAACTCGTAGGAAACGGAGATGAAGTTGAAACCGGAAATGGCCATAATTCTGGCATAAATTATGTTCGGATTATAATTTTGACTCGTGCATTAGAAAGCTCTTGCTCTCAGGAATCTATTGATATGCTTGTAGTCCATGTACCTCCTTTAGATCGTAAGTTATCGGCGAAAAACGAAGCTATGCTGCAATAAAACATAAAAAAACGTTTAAACGCTCATAACTCGAAAACTAAGCGAGATACGGCATTTTTGACGGGGATATCCTATAGGGGGGATCAAATTTTCTACTCAGGTCCAGATCTTTCATATGAGTCCTCAATCAACCCCGTAGCATCATTGGCATAGAGGTTATGCACATTTTTATGTTTTGCGGTTTTTCAGAAATATCTCTTGATTTTACCGGCCAAATATAATCAACAGCCAGTGTTTGGAAACCGTCTCGTCCCCCTCTCCCCAATGACATACTTAATTTTATGATTCAAGCATAAAAACGATTTTTTGCTTTTTTTGAGGTTAGAAACAAGAAATTCTCGAATTTTGATGATTGGAGGATATTCCGTACGTTTTGGTGCTCTGAAATTTGACCGCAAATATCAATTCATTTCAAAACTCGTAGGAACGGAGATGAAGTTGAAACCGGAAATGGCCATAATTCTGGCATAAATTATGTTCGGATCATAATTTTGACTAGTGCATTGCAAAGCTCTTGCTCTCAGGAATCTACTGATATGCTTGTAGTCCATGTACCTCCTTTAGATCGTGAGTTATCGGCGAAAAACGAAGCTATGCTGCAATAAAACATAAAAAAACGTTTAAACGCTCATAACTCGAAAACTAAGCGAGATACGGCATTTTTGACGGGGATATCCTATAGGGGGGATCAAATTTTCTACTCAGGTCCAGATCTTTCATATGAGTCCTCAATCAACCCCGTAGCATCATTGGCATAGAGGTTATGCACATTTTTATGTTTTGCGGTTTTTCAGAAATATCTCTTGATTTTACCGGCCAAATATAATCAACAGCCAGTGTTTGGAAACCGTCTCGTCCCCCTCTCCCCAATGACATACTTAATTTTATGATTCAAGCATAAAAACGATTTTTTGCTTTTTTTGAGGTTAGAAACAAGAAATTCTCGAATTTTGATGATTGGAGGATATTCCGTACGTTTTGGTGCTCTGAAATTTGACCGCAAATATCAATTCATTTCAAAACTCGTAGAAACGGAGATGAAGTTGAAACCGGAAATGGCCATAATTCTGGCATAAATTATGTTCGGATCATAATTTTGACTCGTGCATTAGAAAGCTCTTGCTCTCAGGAATCTACTGATATGCTTGTAGTCCATGTACCTCCTTTAGATAGTAAGTTATCGGCGAAAAACGAAGCTATGCTGCAATAAAACATAAAAAAACGTTTAAACGCTCATAACTCGAAAACTAAGCGAGATACGGCATTTTTGACGGGGATATCCTATAGGGGGGATCAAATTTTCTACTCAGGTCCAGATCTTTCATATGAGTCCTCAATCAACCCCGTAGCATCATTGGCATAGAGGTTATGCACATTTTTATGTTTTGCGGTTTTTCAGAAATATCTCTCGATTTTACCGGCCAAATATAATCAACAGCCAGTGTTTGGGAACCGTCTCGTCCCCCTCTCCCCAATGACATACTTAATTTTATGATTCAAGCATAAATACGATTTTTTGCTATTATTGAGGTTAGAAACAAAAATTCTCGAATTTTGATGGTTGGAGGATATTCCGTACGTTTCGGTGCTCTGAAATTTGACCGCAAATATCAATTCATTTCAAAACTCGTAGGAACGGAGATGAAGCTGAAACCGGAAATGGCTATAATTCTAGCATTAATTATGCTCGGATCATAATTTTGAC